CAGTCTTGTTATGAAATTGGGAGATGGTTGTCGAGTTATCGTCGGCGTTCTCGGGGAGGATCTTGTGACTCAACATAGATGCCACGGCGCGACCACATTGTGCCCATGTAGAGACCTTGATAGCTTGGTCACCGCCGTCATACAAAGTGATTGTACGATTCTTCAAGTCGAACCCAAAGGTGGCAGAACCAGCGACGAGGCTGTACTCGTACCAAAACCCGGTCATCAGCGTGATCGAAGTCAGGCCCGCTTTCTGAACCTCGGCGATGTTCTCCATGACGGCGTTTGCGACAGGAATGTCCTTCCTGATTGCTGCGCTGTGTGCGTTGATACTGTAGGCGTTAGGCATGACGTATGGAACGCCTGCCTCAGCAGCAGCTTGAACCAGAGACGTGTGAGTACCCGGAGAAGCGCTCAGTGAAAGCGTGATGATGAGGAAGTCTTGGCCATTGAGAGCTGCGACCAAAGACTTTGTGTCCTCGTAATTGACTAAAGCCTTCTTGACACCATTCGGCAGGGTACTGGTGCTTTCTTTACGCGTGATGGCGGTCACTGTATGCTTCCCTGTCTTTAGGAGTTCCTCTGCGATGGCTTTCCCAATGTTACCGCCAGCCTGCAAGTTATTACCTTAACTATAGCTCATATCCACATGCAGAACGTATCCGGAAAAACTTACTCCTACAATGGCTACCTTGTGAATGTAGTTCTCGAACCCATTAGGAGCATCTCGTGCAAAGCCTCCGACCATTTTGCCCCTAGTTGGGATGAAGTTAACGTACAGACTATGAGGCAACTTCGAGACCAATGAAGTCCGACGGGAACTTTTGCAGTGGCGGTTAAATAGGCCGGGAGACCAGGATGCAATGCGTATGATATCTAACTCATTTTTCAAGTGGTAATTCAAATGACTGTAATCTGGCGCGCCGACGTATTTAATTCTTCTGATAAACTTACTTGCTTTGAAATCAGACGTGGTCTTGAGATATTTCAATGTAAGTCAACCGCGATGAACCATATATCGGAGCTAATGGAGTTAACTGTCAGCACCATTTTGAGTAATGTCGTGGTATTACCGACACGGACACGAAGCGCCGGACTATTTTCCCCACCCGCCAGTTCCTAGCTCGCTCTGAAAAACGATGTCCGTGTCTGGAAATGGCTAGCGTTACGGCATGCATCACGCCCTACAAGCCATTTCGAACCTTGTGCTGATGCTAGGGGTATTCCAGGGCCAGTGACTTCGTAATTGCAAGATTCATGACTGATTCTGCAATGCCTTGGAAGCTCATGGAAGCTAAGGTCGAACCACTGAGAAAGGTCCATTGCTTGCTGGGCTCACTCTGCTTCGTCATCCGGACCTGACGCCTACCATTCTCCTAATTTTCATCAGGAAGTACGCATGGCTTAATTACAATGGCGAATGATAAAGCAGTCGACTTACAAACTGCTGAAAAAGCCTCACGATAGCTTCTCAAGTTCCGTCTCTCGATCATACAAGCCATCCACAAACGCAACGCGAGCACTTTCTCCATCTCCTACATTATTATCACACACAATCATGACGAAAGTTCTTGTTACCGGTACGATTTAGTGTATGATGAGAGTGATATTACCTTAGGCTAATGAAAAACCTGTTTGGAACATAGGAGGCACTGGCTTCGTGGCCGGTCATGTCATTGACACTCTGTTGAAGCGTGGTCACTCCGTTATCACCACTGTCCGATCTCAGGAAAAGGCTCAAGCGGTACTGGATGCTTACACAGACGTTTCTCATGACAATTTCAACACTGTGATTGCCCCAGATATTGCGGCGAATGGGGCTTTCGAAGGTCTGAGCTCTCTTGGACTCGAAGCTGTGATACACGTGGCAAGCCCAGTAAGTCTCCGGGAAACTTGACTTTTACCGTCTTGTGAACTTCCTACCTCACTCAACAATGCATAGTTCCATTACAATGTCACCGACCCAAAAAAAGATCTCATTGATCCAGCTGTCCTTGGTACAACAGGCGTTCTCAAGGCGATCAAGGATTCTTGCCCCAATGTCAAGCGTGTCGTCGTGACCTCCTCCTTCGCAGCCATTCTGAATCCTGGGCTTGCATCAATGGGCGCAGAAAAGACGTACTCAGAGGAAGACTGGAGCCCAGTCACTCTTGAAGATGCCTACTCGAATGGCATGATGGCATACGTTGCTTCAAAAGTCTTCGCCGAAAGGGCGGCCTGGAACTTTGTCGAGACCGAGGAGCCAAGCTTTACTCTGTCCACAATCTGCCCGCCCATGATCTATGGTCCAGTGAAATTGCCGGTCAAGTCCCTCTCCGCAATCAACACTTCGAACCAGCTTCTGGCGGAAGTCATTCTGGGAAAGCACAAGGCAGGCCTGCCGCCCACAGGTTTGCCGCTCTGGGTTGACGTCCGTGACGTCGCCCTGGCACACGTAAGGGCCATAGAGGTCCAGGGCGCCGGAGGCAAGCGTTTTCTCACCACAGCCGGCTTCTACAGCAATGAAGAGATGGCGAATGCACTTTGGAACAGCTTCCCTTCAATGCGGGAAAAGCTACCAGAGCCTGGTAGCTATGGAGGAGCGCCCAGTCCGGCTTTAAGGTCCTTTGGATACAACACGTCCCGGGCGAAGGAGATTCTGGGCTTACAATGGACTCCGTTTGAAAGGACTGTCGTTGACTCAACTATATCATTGGATGGATTAGAGGAGTAGACAGAGACTCATACGCACCCATCGATAATGAATCGAGTTTGGCCAAGATTTCCATTGAGCTGTTGCAGATAAGACCTCGAATTGATGCGGGCGCTTGGATTTCCTTCTTTCACACAGTTTTTATTGATTTTAGATGAACAACTGAACTTTTCTCATTCTGCATTTTATTCATGACTGAGGAGGTATCCAAGAGCCAGGATCATTCTGCTAGGCACCAAGCGCGTAGCTACCGGTCATTGCAAACACGGTCCAGTAATCTAGGTCTGGTGCTGTTTGTGTAACATAAAGTATTTCTTTTGCTGATTTAAGTCGTCCAGATTGCCACATAAACTTCAGACATTGATGCACCCAAGCTTTTACTTTCTCATCTTCTGATACTTGATTGATTAGATAAAGAGGCGCCAGGAAAGTGCTGCAGTGAAGTCGTTGTACAGGCGAGAAAGGCAACGAATTTGTTTTGTGTACTCCTGGTAAGATGAATTGAGGCACTGAGGCGCACATCTGATTGACCGAGTCGCGATTCGTTCCATGAAAGGTGTCCTCTTTCGGGCGACTCTCCTCAGGGACGTAAGTCTTGAGAAGGTGATAAAGAATGAGGCGGATGGTGCAGATTGCATTGGAGACTTGAGTGATGTAGTGGTCCGGGTAGATGTCATAAAATAATCCCAGGACTCGCTCATCTGCAGTGACTTGTATGGTTTTTGGCTTCCAGGATGGTGGGCGGGCCTTGTCCAACGTATCGATTCTTTCGTCGAGACCTTTTGCCTTGACAAGAAGGTCCAATATTGAGATTCTCCCGTGAACGATATCGGACTTAAGGTTGACAATCTGTGCGAGGACACCTAGAAATGTCCATTTCACGCTCTTGACACGATAGCCAATATTTCGACGGGCCTTCGTAAGCTCTGGAGGTATTCTATCTCCAACTGTGGCACAGCTCACCGTCACTGCCGTCACAAGTCGAGCTGCAACTTGACAGCCTGTTGGGGTAGACATAATACTCGTCTCACGGGCGCCGAGTAGTGACAAGCCACCTTGTGCGTGACTCAGCCATGCCTGAGACTTTCCCGAATCCCGGTGGACAAGCTTTTCGTACATATCTAGCAGTAGGATGGTTTGAAGAGCTCTTTCCGCTTCGTCAGGATCGAGTGAGCTGAGAGTGTGACTAAGTCGCCGGATGGCCGTGACGTAACTTGAGTTGGCCAGGAGGAGAAGATTTGGGCTGTCGAGCTCAACAGCCATAAAGGCCAGACTGGCTGCTTCGACGCCCGCTGAAAGATGATCTAGTGTTTGTGCGTTCCGGTAATGGTAAGCTATCTCACCCATGCTCCGAGTAAAGCCTTGGATGTACGTCGAGAAGAATGCGTATCGTGCTCGCGTATCCCAGCTCAGCTCCAGAGTGGCTAGATGATTTTCTGCAGGTAGCATACGGCTCCGACGAGCAGTCACCTTTTTTTCTGCCGACAAGTTTTCATTACGGAATTGGATAGCGTCAGGGTCCCGATATCCATGACATATTATTCTAGCCCTGGCACACTGGCCACACCTATCTGGCTGAAGATCACACTAGCGGCGAATAACTGTTAGTCAAAGGAGGTTTTCTAGCAGAAAGTATGCAAATTGAATGCTCGGTAGGTCCAAAGAACTTGCCTTGAGTTTCCTTGCCCTGCATGGAAGGCATGCCGGCGAAAGACGCCCTCGGTTCACCATCGGTCTAAACCTCAGGGGTCCATTCCACAATTTGTGCCTAAATAATCCGACAAATGTGTGAATATCGAAGCGAAGACTGCGGATAAGCAACGAAATTCTGGAAGGTGTCCAATTCTGCGACTGTAACTATGGCGAGATGCAGGTTTGGCGATTCTGCACCATTTTGCTAAGGGATGAAGTTGGGGTTGTCTCATGGCACGTCGTCCCATTGTCGTCTTTGTGTGTTTCCTAATACTGGGTCTTTCCTAAACGGGCTAGCGTTCCGGTCCCCCAACTCTAAATTTGTGGAGGTCTTGTCTGAGTTGATTCCCGTTATTTTACTACCTTAATTAGTTGCCCGACTTGTGTCGAGGCACTAGAGAGCTGAGCATAAAGTACTGGGATAATTTCATTTGTTTAGGCCAAGACAAAGTCTCCGAAATGCCTGCAAAACCTCTCACGCTAGCTCTAGCTAGGAAAATGTGTTATCTTGGCGACACATGCTCGTTCGTCTTCGCTCACTATGCAGTGTTAAACGTCTCAAGGTTTCGCGACTGAGCGCGCCAAGCAAAGGGTGCTCGATATGTCATTCAATTTTCTACTGGTTTCTGATGGCTTCCAACAATAAGTCCCCAATAACCCCTGCGCTAGGTGGATTCTGTCCTGTAATCAAGCGTCCGTCCTTGCCGCTCGTCACGACTTTCACCCCAAACGGCTGATCCGCCTTCACGTACCTCCCGCCATGGTTTCTGAGTTCCGTTTCTAGAAGAAATGGCATTGCATCTGTGAAGCTATAGGCGTCTTCTTCAGCATTTGAAAATCCTGTAACTTCGCTGTCCTTGACTAAGTACTCCCCGTTTGTGAGCTTGACATTGACGAGGGCGCCGGGGCCATGGCAGACGGCCGAGACAATCTTGCCTGCTTCGTAGAACTCTCGGATGATAGAATGTGAGACTTGGTCGACGGCGAGATCAAACATGGCTAGATCTGTGTAAGCTTTTGATGAGGCCATTTTGGTCTGAGCCCTACTCACGCCCGTGTCCGCCAACGTAGAACACGCCGGCAAACTCGGCAAACCTTCCGATAAAAGACGACAGGGTCTCAGTTTTTTCCCAAAGATCTTTCTTGTCTTTCAGAAATCTCTGGCACTCTACATCGTCTTTGCTGTCCTCAACGGAGTAGGGGTCGAGGGGAGCAACACCACCCTTAGGAGAAGCGATGACGAGGTCCACATGAGGGGCAAGAGCGTTGTATGGGTGAACGAACTCGGGAAGATACCATCCAGTCTTGAAGTCCTCGCGAGTTGGTAGGATATCCTGAGATGTCAAGACAACGAGAAGCTTGGGCCTAGTCGACATGGTTGGTAGGATGGAGTAAGGAATCAGGGAGGACCACAGAGTGAGGGTTGCCGAAAGACGATGCTTGAATGCTATAGAATGCGATAATGACCAGGGATGGGCGTAGGTTATCGCGTACTTAAATACGTATACGGACAGCCCATCTCCCGGAACAACGGCCATTTATCAGCCATCGGCATCGCCGCAGTGTTAGTTCATGGAACGAAAGGAATACCCAAAGTAGTTTACGGCGTCTTATTACTCGCGCCATGCATTTCGGGTACAAGAAATGTCCTGACATTCCAGGGTGTAGGTATCATCTGGATATGTCTTATATCCGAGAGAGAACTTTTTCTCCGAGCAAGACGGTTGAGAGCCTGAGGTATAAGTACCGATTTCCCTGTGTCGTCTCATATTCCGAGCTTATCCCACATTCGTCCTATCCTTTCCCCTACACTCCCGCCGATCATTCTATATATCTAAAAAGTCGATCCTGAACATTAAACCATCCACACCTCCAGTTCTTTCAGACGTCACAAACATCGATCACTATGACCGTCACTATTACCGTCGTCTTCCCCAACGATCCGGATGCCAAGTACGATATCGACTACTACACCACTAAGCATATGCCATTGATTCAAGAGCAATGGGGAAAGTACGGCGTCACGTCGTGGTCGGTCACCAAATTTCAACCGGGTGCTGATGGCACCCAGCCATTGTACGCCTTCGGATCAACTGTCACTTGGGACAACATCGAGCAGATCAAAACGGCTTTCGCCGGGCCCGAAGCTGGTGGGATCATGGGAGACGTACCCAACTTCTCCAACAAGCAACCTATCTTCCTCACAGGCGAGGTACTTGCATGAGAATGGGAAGTATCATATCTTGACAGTCAGTTGATCTATGATGGTTCAAAAACATCCTGAAATTTTGTTGAGAGTTGATGAATAAAATTCGAATCGATATGAGTAATGCATATGTGCAAGATTGTTACTTGAGTAGTGTGCCGGCTTCCGGTTGAAATCTCCTGACTTAGGTAGGCATCTTCTACTCAAGATGCCTCTGCGAAACTGCAGGGTTGAAGTCAAACATACATGTATGGACCTTCATAGCACGGTGATCCATTGCTGTTAAGAACCCAACTCTCGTAAGGCCACGTAGAGATGATTGCCGTATAGAGAATCTAAGCTAAACAGGTAACGATTTCTGGAATGGGGTTTCTGCGGAGGAAAGGCGCTAGAGTAGACCTATACGGGAACCACGCTGTGAGCCATGGCAGAATACGGGTATTTAGTCCACATCCACCACTCAAGCCTAGACCATAACAGTAACACATAGACATGACGCAGATTGTGCCCTTAGTTCAATGGCATGGTCTGTACGTGTACAATTCGAAAGAACTTGAACTACCAAAGTTCAAAGTGGTCTGCAATCGCCGTGTTCACGTGGTGTTGCAATCGTTTCAAGATCATGCAATGGGGCTTATATGGATACTGTGTACCACAAAAGAAGATCCTTGGCAAAGGCATTGATGTATTCGATATCAACGTGGCTTCATGGGCTCCACACCCTAGAAGTCCACGATGAGGATCTCGTAGAGGTCATATCAAACCTTGATGAAGGCGAATGTCCCTGCTCCCATCTTCCGTGTCTTGCAAATCCGTGCAGAAAGAACGAATGCCATTCCCAACATCATGCAACAACCGGCAAATGCTTGTGCGCCAACGTATTTGCCCCCCATCGCATCGATAATGGCTCCTGCAATCGGCGATCCGGTGAGAGATGCGAAGCTGACCACCGTGAAAACCATGCCCATTCTCGTACCCTGCTTTTGAGGGTCCGTGGTTAAGCTACTGAGCACGGAGGGAAACAGTGACTGAACTCCGCCAACAGCAAAGCCATAAAAAGCAGTCCAGACATACAGCCCGGTCGTGTTTTGTACGCCAATCCAACAGAACATTACGGTGCCGGTCATGAACGCCATTGGAGCAAATATGTTGATAGTACCAATTACGTCCCCAATCTGGGCCGGAACAATTCTTCCGAGTGCACCCGCACCGTTGAGAACCAATAATAGGTCAAGTGAGTCTGTGTAAGATAGTCCCAAGACGTCCCGGGAGAATGCCGCAAGAAAGTGGAAGGCAAAATAGGTTCCCCAGAAGCACTGGACATTTTTTAGTACCTTATGCTCGCTCCGGATCAACATGCTTACCATGAACGCCCCAATAGCATAGAGACTATACTCTGATTCTCTAAAGGCTGCCCACTCTACTAGAGGTGCTGCCTGCCGTGGTGGAATCCTGGTCTTGATTAGTAGGCAAGCAACTATCAAAGTCACAACCTGAATCAAGGCAATAGCTCTAATGGTCCAGCCAAGCCCTATCCTTGGCAAAAGCTGCCGAACCATGCTCGGGATAGTGAGACCTCCGACAACAGCCCCAGCGGCTGTGAGGCCGAACGCCAATGAGCGACGCTTCGCAAAGTACGTAGATGTCACTGCCATACAGGGACAGAACAGACAACCGTTTCCGAGGCCTAGGCAGATACCCTGGGCGAGAAAGAATTGCCAGTAGGTGGTACAAAACGAGGCAGCAACCATTCCCAAGATGACAAGGAAGAAGCCGGCGATGAACAAGGGACGAAAGAATCCCATATCTGTCCATCGTCCCGTAAACGTCCCGACAAAAAAGAGGAGGAACACTTCAAATGAACCGATCCACGAGACATCGGACTGTGGCCGCGAAAACGCTCTGGTGAAGTATGGCTGAAAGACGCCAAAGGAGTTTGCAACCCCCCTACAAAGTATTAGCACCACAAATCATGCAACGACAGAGTTTGAAGCACGAACCAGGTGTTCATAACAACTAGAAATGTGCTAAAAACTGTCACATCATTAGTGATGTACATTTTACACGTGTAGTGCACAGTTTGCGCATTGCTGAGTTCCACTCACCTACCATCCACGCTCTGGCGCCACCATCTGGCGGCGTATCAATGATTATACTTGGCCGAGATGCACTTCTCTCGATGCTACTGTGGGGGGCCGCTCTCTCGGCGGCTATGCCGGCATTGTAAGAGTGTTCTCGAGGTGTATTGCACATTTTGGTTGATCGCGGCTCATCAGGTACAGCTTCTAGCTTCTCACCCATACTGCAATGTTCGGACGGGAAGAACGGTTTCCAAAGTGCGGTAGTAAACTGCAGGAGAAGAGGCCAAACCCCAGTGAGCAACGAATCGACGATGATGGATCTTTTTGAGAAGATGAGACTTGTGAGGCACTCTTGTTCGAGAAATGCCAAAGGTCGTAGATACCTGCCGTTCTCAGCTGTACATTTGACAGGCCAAAAAGACATTCTTGCTGTTATAGGTAATTTACCGCGGTCGGGATCGTCCGTCCATAGCCGATGGTCTCCGAACTCGGCCCCAAGATTCAGTTCCCCAGCGGAACCCACCTACCATCTCCCCTTACGGTTCATTTTGGTTGACTCGGCCCATTGTGACTCAGTTCAGTTATTTGCTAGCAAACCGCTGCCCCAACCTTCCTTTCCAAGTCTGAATTGCAAACAAAGTAGTCATCGATGAGGCTCTGGTAATCCCTTTTGAGGTGTCAACCAGGGCTGATTTGTCGCCCTTTTGCGACCTTTGCAGCGGGCGTCGGGTTTTCGCCTGCCGCTGAGCTTCTCGATGCCCTTTTTATGCAGTGTCTTGGCTGATCAGGTTCAAACCCACCAATCATTAAATCGCTTTCACGAACTTTTTCATGGATAGCGAATTGCACATTTTACTTGCAATGCAGCGTATTCCCTGCAACTCCGGAGCAGGCTGAACGATCGGTTTGTGGGGGGGACAGGCCCCTACTAGGCCTTATATCATCCGATGCGTAAACGGCCATAGACTCTTGTTTGCATTGTTCAATGTCAGCGACACGTCCCGAATGATCTCACCGTTCGGATTGACTCAATTTTCTGACATTGGAAATCCAAGACTTCAGAGCAAGACGTTTTTGGCAGTAGAACTAATCACGGCCAACAGAGACGACTAGTAACATGAGGCAGCCATCTTAGAGTTCTTGATCAAAGCCATAGAGGAAGTGGGAGGCCAGCGCAGACAGCGTACTTGACAGCAAAAACACCTCGACCAGCGCGTCCAGAGCCTCCCATATAATCGCTCAATTCCGTCATTGGATTGACAGAGTCCGACATTCTCTGATCATCCGACCACAGCAAGAATCGACGTGAATCAGACGTCATACATGCTTGCGCAGCTCTTGCGTTTCTAAATAGTTGACCTCTGGAAGGCAGCAGGAAAGTTCATTCATCGTTTTTGTCTGCCCTATAATATGACTGATATTCTCTCCTTTCGGTAGAGTCAGAGGTTGTTCAATTACGAAAGAGATGTAGACAAAGGGCTATCAGGGCCTCAGAGCTCGTGTGATCAAATATTTGCCATGTTCAGCAAATCATTTTGTTTAAGTACTTGAACTCTGGGTAACCCCACAGTCTAGCATCATGCAACATGCATGATACTTCACGCTTTAGAGGCCCAGGGGGCGTCTCCGGCACCTTCCTTCAGTCCAGCCTTGTGTTCCTCCAGCCAACCCCTGACAGTCGTAGGCTTCCTCTCAAGGGTCCTCTCCACAAAGTCGTTCAATGACCAAATCTCCTCATGCGCTTCCTCATACTTGAAGAAATTCCACATGACTTGCACCAATTGAGGTCCCATAACAGGTCCATAGAACTCGGAAAACGCTTCGAAGCTTCCATCATACGCAATCGGTTCATCGAGTACTTCGGACAACATAGCCGCCACCTCCTTGAACGTGAGCCAGTCATGACCATTGTTCATTGTGTGAAAGGCACCAATGTGCTTCGCGTTGTTGGACAAGAACAGTCTGCCCGCAACCTCTGCGATGTCTCGAGGGTCCACGAAAGGCACACGATGCTCTGGCCAGATCAGAGTCTTCTTTGCAATGACTGGCTTGATTTGAATCCAAAAGTTGTCCATGAAAGTTGCTCCAGAGTTGATGTAAGTGACAGGCAGTCCACTTGCATCGAGGATGCGTTTGGCGATTGGGTGTTCGATTGGAAGGGATCCTGAACCGAGAGTAGTGGGAATCAGTGAAGGCGAGATTTCCGGGAAAACTCCCATCAGGCGAATGACGTGTAAGATGTTCTTGGCCTGCTTCAGGGCGGTGACCAAGTTCGTCATGGCCTCCTCTTCCGATATGCCTGCTGGAGTAATGACAAAGACACCCTCAATGTCGACGAGGGCGGCGGAGAGGGATGTAACGTCCGAGTAGTTGGCTTCGACCACTTCGGCGTTTGCAAAGGTATCTTGAAGCTGTATTTTCTTGCCCGGGCTGCTTGTAGCGAGTCGCAGCTTCATCGTAGGAGCCTCTCGAATAAGAAATTCGGCCAAGGGTCTGCCAATATGAGCGGCCGCTCCAAAAATCAGAATGCTCTTCGGAATAGGCTTGATGAATGAAGACATTGTGAGGGACTTTAGTTGTCAATGAGACTTCGTGATACAAAGTAAGTAAGATGATGCACTTGTGATGGTAGAAATGAGTTCGTGACGAAGTTGACGATAAGTCCGTGATTCAGAGATTACCAAGAGGGTTTATATACTGCCTTACAGTCTGGATGATGTTGGTAAGTATGGTGAGCCGGCAGTCAATAAGTGCCGTTCGGGCCTTGCACAGGCCTAGCGGCCGAGAGCATTGTCTGAGCTTGAAAAGGCTTGGCAGGACCGGAAAACATGTGTCAGTAGGATCAGATATTGAAGCTTTCAATACCCCTTAACAGATCTGCTTTTAGATAGGAGCTCCATTAGACGATACTCTTGGCTGAAATCCACATATGCTTCAGCCGAAAAACACTCCGTCTGGTCTTGCAATTAGACAGCGGTAAACGTTACCGCTTTGGACAAGAGTTTCCGTCTGAAAGTAGGTCCTCACGGATCCTAACTATCGACGAACCGCTGACATAAGCGGCTTGAACCATGATCTCTAAAAGCTGAGGCGTCCTGCCTTTGCGAAAGTCAGTAGTTCGGCAATTTGACACCCAACTTGGCATGCCGGACAGTTTTGAGTTCTGAAACTTAATTTGAAAGCACTACATTGGCCTTCTGATTTACAATCGTGCGCCGGGGCGGATTCTTTTTGACATCATTTTAAATCCGTTAACGTACGGAACGGGCCGTCAACGAGCTTAACTCAGTAATCGAACATGTGACTACACAAATCTCAACATTGGCCTTGATTTTCCGCTACTAAAATATCTACCATCTGCTTTCCCGCACCAACGAAACAACGGGACTGGCACCGCCCTACTAGTACACATACACAAAGTTGGGATTCTCCTTGTCGGTCATGTCTGTAAACGCTGTGGCGTTGAGCTCGTCGGCGGTATAATTGTCATTTGCACGCAATGCGTCTCTTTGCTTCTCTTTGCGCTTGTTCTCCCAGATGAAGGCATACCGGAAGACAAAGAAGAGAGCAAGCTCAATGCAATTTGCGACCAAGAGTGACCCAATACCGAGATGATACGAGGGAGCCTGGTTCGTTTTGTAAAAGAACGGGCTTGCGATATTGCCGATGCAAGCGCCAAACCAAATCATGCCAGAGACAATCATTTTCTTTGATTGGCCACCAGTGTTCGATGTGATTAGCGAAAGAGAGATGACGAAGGACGCTTGGTATGAACCAGTAAGATAGCTTGTGACAGTCAGTATCCATCTCGTGATAGTGTATGAGGGAAAACACCTTACAAGCAAATGAGACGACCGATGTAGGCATTGGCTGGTGCAAGAAGGAACCCCAAGGCACCACCAATGGTTGGCAACATAAAAAGTGCACAAACCAGTGTACGACTGTTGGCCGGCATATACCTATTTGCCAAGGCACCAAGACCAATCCAGATAACCACCAGAGCGCCTTGCGGGATGCCAAGCAGCGCCGTCTCAAGCGTCCCAAAGCCAAGACCCTTGATGACAAGTGTGGAGAAGTTGGAGATGCCACCGTTGGGGACGTTGGAAACAAAGCCTAACAAGGTGAAAAGCCAAGTCTTGTAGTCCATATAAGCTTCCTTGATTTGACCCCAGTTGATACGGCGTTGCTCGATGCCTGTTTGATTGCGACGCATGCGGGCGATCATGATAAGCTTCTCTTCATGGCTGAAGCCCCAGATGGTTCGTGGAGAGTTGGGGAGGCAGAGAGCGAGGATAATTGCCCAAAATGCACAAAAAGCACCCACGACAAGGAACTCGTAGCGCCACGACTCTAGGGCGCCTTTGATATGTCCAATACCGTACCCTAGAATAAGATTGTCAGCGGGATATCGTTGGGGAACATCGGTACTGTAGAATTGTCCACACTCACCAATGAGACCACCACCAGCAACACCAATTCCATTCCAAGCATACCACGCTGAGATACGAGAGGGCTGCTCAGATCGTGTGTAGTACATCGATGTGATCAACATAAAAGCAGGATCTGCGATGGCCTCGAAGGCACCGGACAGTACGCGAAGAGCAAGAAGGCCGCCGAAGTTCTTGGCTGCGGCCTGGGCCATAAGAAGGGCGCCCCACATGAAAATATTGAAAGAGAGATACCAAGCTGGACGACAGCGCTGCATAATCAGGTTGGATGGGATGGCCCAGATAAGCCAGCCGAAATAGAAGCAACTTGATAGCCAAGAATATTCCTCGCCTTTCAGGTTGAGGCCGTCCTTTAATCCGAAAATCGCTGCGTAAGATCTATGGTATGATTAGCTATTAAAGGCTGCAGAGAGTCCGCGATGCTAGGTCTATGGAATAGAGGCCATACAGTGTGGTCTTGTCGACGTAGTAGAAGAAGTAGCAAATTCCGAGAAGTGGCAATATTCTCATGTCCAGTTTGCGGAGAAGACGCTTCTCATCGGCTTGGTCAATTGATTCGTCATTTGGGTACCGTGCCAGCGCTTCAAGGTAGATCTCTGGGAACTCTTGCTGGCCGTCTTCACGCAGAAGCTGTGGCTTCTGAAGATCTTGCTCGACATGCTCAACATCGCTCTTTCGCGACTTGGTATCCGCGATGTCTGGGATTGTGTCGACCATTGTTAATAGCGAGTTGCGGGCTCGCTTGAGAGTCTTCGTCAGTGCTGCTGTGTGGAAGTTTCGGGAGTGTATGATGTGTCGCCGCGGCGTAGACCTACTTGCAAGCTCGAGGAAGAGGGTGTGATTTCCTCAAATACTCGAATATCTGATAGAGCGCTTCAAGTAGCCTTGTGCTAATTCCCGCTACCGACTCTGCGGTTTCGGCCAACTCCCGGCATGGATCGTCGAGGCGTCCGTTGGGCGAGCTAGGCAAGCTTTGGCGCACTCTCCATACAGCCCAAGTCCGTGGGTCCTGGCAGACTGGACAAAGACTGCATCACAGTGGGTTCCATGAGTCGTACACAGAATGCGGGGTGCTTCCACACTGGTATCAAACTCCCTTCGATTCTCACAACGCTAGCGGTTCTGTTAACAGAGCAGGGGTTCGGACACTAGCTCTACGGCTCAAATTGTGCTTTACGACTTTAAGTAGGGCCGACAAGTGCTCGTGACAGTTTTAAATCACCCCTAAAATGCTTTCAGACTAACCTCAGGGAGACATAGTATCAAGTTATCTAGTTAGATGCCCATGGTATCGCGTTGTTCAGAGGTCAAAAATTGTTGACTTCGGTATCGCGGGGTTCTCACCGAAGCATGACTTCTCCGGCTTATTGCCCGTGGGGAAATGGCGGCCCTGGGGTTCGGAGGTGGGGTTTTACGCGGGCTTGCGGGGGAAAGGTTTCGACACGTTCACATCTCTAGCGCCCGACTCATGATGGAATATGAGTTTCAACTGGTGGAATATAATTTTCCGCCATTTTTCCGTGTGTGGGAACTATGTGTCGGGCCCAAGCCGAGTTGGCCGCGTTTTGATCCAACATGCCAACCACGCAGTTTTGGTCAACTAGGGCTACTGATGTTGGCTATTTTCGAGCCGGTCTCGCTGCTTACGTTGCCCTTGGCTGGACCAAAACCGTGCCTCGATGCACTTCTAGCCCTCTTAAATCTCAGGGCAAAATAGGCTGCGGCAAGCTTGAAGGTGAATTGCGCAGGACGTGTCATGGGACGCTCTGGACGCAAGCCACCGCACATAGCGTCCAGACTAATAAACTTAAAGCGTTGGGAAGCCCAGCATCGTCTTCACCTATAGCGCCAGCCTAGAAACCCAACACGACGCCTTTGGTATCAGGAGCCCTTATCGAGAGTGCCGACTCGGAAATCGACTCAAATTCTTAATAATAAGGTAATCTGAAGCACTTCACGAACCTACTCCTTACGAAGTACCTATGTTGCGTAATTTGCACACAGCTATCGGTGTCGAACTCTGAATACTGCACTCCTGGCATTACGAGTTCAACCAGATTCCCGTCGCTCCAAAACGTAGAAGTATAGGTTAAGACGATACGGTTGCTGGAGTACATTTCTCTTCCACCTGTCCATGGCCTTGGACCTCAGGTACCTTGATAGGAGATAGTGAGCTCTATTGCTGCATACTGATGCGTGCACTGAGTGTCTGAATATCTCGCAATACCAAATCTCAGATTCTATTTGTGATGACTAGTAGTCCTTAACCCCAGCCAATTGCAGGAGCTTATCTGTGATCTTAGGTTTCTCAAATGGCTCTTTCCGGTGCTTGGGACAGACCTCGCCGTTTCTCTTAGGAGGATCCTGTGATGGGCGAATATTGCTGATACTGGTCAGCAGATGCGCAGGCGGTCATGGGAGTTATAGAACCTACCAGTGCGGCCAGTGTGTCGTGCCAAACCAATTCTCGAAGCAATATTTCTTTGCTGCTAAAGCCTCATCCGTCGCAAATTTCCGTGGTGTCATACAGATGTACTGCACGTGTCTAATTTGATCGCCTTCGGGAAATCGGGCGTAGTGCATAGTCCGCGAATCCCACAGAACGAAATCGCCAGGCTCCATATTCACCTTGAAGAGCTCGCATCCCTTACTTTCAAACCATGCAACATCCTTCTCGCTAAAGAGGAAGAGGTCCATGAACTTTATTTCTGGAGGCGGGGCGTCTTCATGGTCGGCGGATTCACGCTTGTGGGCGAAGAATTCATCGAAAAGCTTGGCTGAGCCACGCATCAGAACCAGGCCACCATCATCTGGGCCGTTGGGCGCGAAGTTCAAGAGACCCTGAACAGCTTGCATGCTACGAAGCATTAGTGTAAAGTTTCAGACGACTGTGTCAAGATGTAACTAACCCTTTCCTCTCAGGATTCTGGTCGCAATGCGGCCAGGGACTCCACGTAATATCCTTACGGTTCGGTAGAGAAATGTTCATGCCATCAAATGACGTGATGAGTTCGTTGGTTTCCCAAAGCTTCTCAAAGACATCGATGACACTTGGCTCCATACGAGCCTCCCATGCCATCTGCTCATGAGAAGCACCGTACGCGGAATACATACTACGGAAGTAAGGGATATCAGTCCCGGTCATCTTTCTTCGGGAAAGCAGGTTCTTCAACTTACCCTCCCTTGAAACTGACTGGAAGGTGATCCGCAGTCCATGTAGTAGGGTCACTCTCGTCGAAGCCAAGTTCAAATCTCTTCAACCATTCGATTTGCTTGTCGCAGTAATATTGGGCACGCTCCTTACTGATAACGTCCTTGATGATTACGCAGCCGTTTCGGTGGAACTCATCGCGCCAGTCCCCATAGTGCTTGCCAGCGTCAAATGTGACAAGATCTTTGCTTTCGAACTGAGCAGCAAAGGTTCTCTTCGCTTCCACTCGATCAATGGTCTGTGTTACCGTTGCCATTTCAGTTTTCGGAGGTATGGTTCGAGTTATACAGTGGGTTGCTATGGCTTTCAGTCTGTCGTGCGGGTGTTGAAGTTGTATGTAATCCAATACACTAAGGCGGCGGAAGTATGCAATTGTAACGACTTGTTCATGCGGTTTTGTAGTATTTTGATTTGGTGACTGTGTGTAGATCAGATCACTCCATGACTTCAATTGAGGAAGCGCCGGCCCCGCACATCTCGACCCGGCCCCATGAGATAGTCGGGGAATGGTTTCCACCGGGCCGGGTCTTCGGCTCGGCTCGGTTCGGGAGGGGGCGGTGGAGTATGCTGTCTTGGGCGCTATGAGCTGGTCATCCTCTTTTATCGTGGGAGGACTCAAAACACAGGGTGAACAAGTTCTCAAGAGACTATTCGCGTGCTCAGTCCAGAAGTACAATTATTATTGCATAGTATTGATCTATTAAACTTTCTGTGGCTTTGATAGTTTTATGATAAGACTAGAAGTCATTTGGGACTCCTGCAATCCAATCACACTGAAGTGAGAATGATAACGACAGATAAGATGGCACAATAAGTTGGAACCCCCATTCGAAGCAGGGAGCATGTTTTCTTGGTATAGTCAAGTAAGATTCTGTCAGGGTTTTAGTAGTAAACTTGACAGAGTTACTGACCAAACGCATCGTGGACCCTGTCGCAGGGCAAGAATAGTTTTTACAAAGTCAACTGAAATCCACTGACTTTATATGTTACTGAAATAGGTTAATACGAAGAGGAATCACTAATCTACACCTGGTTTGCTATCATATCTATTAGGAGCAGCGGCAACCAGCGATCCGGAAATAGTAAAAGGCTTTTACAAAATGAAAGCTAAATTGAGTTGAAGGTATATGCTCGAAACATTTTATTAACAAAGGGAGTAACATAAAAGCATATGGAGTCAATACAGAGGTAGCTGGGTACCTTGTAATAATGCATTTATTCACTACTACAATTGCTTTAAGGCATTCAAGCATTCCCAAAAGATTATCCAAGATAATTGTAACAGTATTCTGTTTACTTAGTAATTCAAATGCGCTTTGAGTAGAATATTCCCAAAGTATGTGAAATAAAATATTAGTTATCTTTGGGAATTGTAATCAGTACAAAGCTATCCTCCTTGTTTTTGTTGTCTTCTTTTCGGAAATTACTTATCATTTCTTGAGACTTAGTTTATCAATGTAACAGTTATGCTACTATTTCCAGCCCTTCTTGCACGCGTGATGGAACTGCGGGTGAACGAAATGACAATTGCTTACCAATTAGGGTACCTAATAGTAATGTATATGAGTCAAGCCCGAGGCGAAGTTGTCGTGACAGCAAGGAGGAGTCGCCGACCTACGGGGACAAATCGATGGGCCCTGAGGAGCTTGACTTGGTTGGATGGAGAATCGCAAACGGAGCCCACTTCCGGTGTACCGCCGCCTGGAGTCGATCACGACATAGCAGCGAGCCTCACATTGTCCAAGGGTTGAAATTCTGAAGGGGGAATGAGTGGTGGCTCAAGGTTGGAAATCATTCTCGATCAGATATTTCATCAATACCACAAGGAGTGGAGACTGTTCGCCAAAGTATCGTGTTCTGTGAGCCTAAGGACATCTTTTATAAAGAGAAAGAAGAGGGAGCGCAGCCAAAAAGACAGGAAGGATACGCAGGAGCGTTGCGATAGCGAGCGACGAGTATCGTCCTACATTGCAGTCACTTCATTGACGTCTTACCTGGAGGCATATCAAGGTCGGAATCGACCTTGCCTCGACCAAGTCTTTTCTCGGGTTTCCTGATTGCTAATGCATGGAGCCGTTGCGAGCACAACCTGTCTATCGGGGCTTGATCTTGCCAGCTGTATTCACGGAAGATGAGTCGCTACGCACTCAACAGGACTAATCCACAGGCTGACCGTTGTACGAATTCTTTCTCTGGACATTGAATGCCTGATTAGGGAAGCTTTTTGGTCTTCATTGTGAATGAATATTAGAAGGAACATTGCACGACGTACGCCTCTTACTTGAACACTTGCTTGTGGATGCCAGCGATGGTATATGTTCTATGCAGCCGCCTTGTCAGTCCGAAAGAACCCCTACCCAGTGATACCATCACTTTCTAATCATTTTTTACATGCAACCTGGCAATAGAGTTTGATACGACCCCCGGCAAGGTCACAGAGTCAAAGACATTGTCGAGCACCCGCACTGTTTTGGTGGCTACAGGGGTCATCTATGTCGGCCTTGGGAAATGAGAAAAGCAGCTCCTGGAACGACCCTCTGGTCATCAATATGTAGCGAGACACAACTTTGAAAGTGTAAGCGTACTTTCCTTAGCAGAAAGTGCCACTTAATGATGCGGTCAAGTAAATGAGTAGTAACTCAGCCACAAATGGTTCCATTACCATCAATACCATCGGGCTCGTATCGAGTCGCGGGGTTATGAGGACGAAGTTGCATTGCACACTACACTGAGTCGAGTAGTCTTGACGTAAAATGTCTAATGGAACTTGGTGTTGAATACCAAGATCATGCGTCCCAATTATCGTCCGCCTGAAGCATCCATCATATCACTAAATCGGCTGTGTCGGCACCGCGACTAGACTGACTAGCCGTAGATCACAGCAATGTGATGGGATGGGCAGACCTCCTTTAGGCTAGCAGTTTATACGATGCACCCTCAAGATGAACTGCGCTACACTTTGTGATTCCAGCGCCTAAGGTAGGATGTAGTTACAACAGAACATTAATGCGCCATTCCCCGTTTTCGGCCCGCCTCTAGGCTGACCACTAACGGTCACATCCAATGAAAACAATTGACGGAGAATATTCCTTGGCAAATCCTCAAGTTCAAGGAAAGCTTGGAAGTACCGCACCAATCGACTTATTGCCAGCATCCACTCTATCGTGCGGGGAAGGCGAACCAGGGGCAAGCCTGCACAAGCCTACAATTAACATACCATCAGTTCATGAGTGTAACCTCACCTCCGCAATCGACCATGCGCACCAGTCGTTGAACGAGTTGATAGTGGAGTATTAGTATCACGAGGTTTGCGTCGTGTAAGGCCGCTGTTGTTCCCCATGGGGAAGCGTTAGGGCGGCGGGCTGATTTGATGTTACTTAGTGACGACTATAAAACATTCGTAGCAACCTGTTTGCTGCCTCACATTGGCAAAGAGTTGTCGGCTTTCAGAGCTTGAGTCATTCGTTGAATTCTCATTCCCAAACCTTCGTGCCAAGCCTTGGCCCAAATCGTTGAGATGATGTGGTTTACGACAGAAAGCCTGCGAGGCCTAGCGTGCCTAGCGATAGTTGTGGGATCGTCCGTCTGGGACGTGACCGCACAGGCCGTGCCTCCTGTCAGCCAAGAGAAGGGTGTCTCGGCTTGGGCCTTCGACATGAGCCAGGTCACGTTGAGCAGTGGACGCTTCTTCGACAACCAGGCTCGCACTCTGACGTATCTTAAAGCAGTCGACGTTGAGCGCTTGCTGTACAACTTCCGCAAGAACCATGGACTGTCAACCAACAACGCGGCGACCAACGGCGGATGGGATGCCCCGGATTTCCCATTTAGAACTCACGTCCAAGGCCACTTTCTGAATGCATGGGCATTTTGCTACGCCCAGCTCCGCGACGCCGAATGCAAGAGTAGGGCTACTTACTTTGCTGCCGAACTCAAGAAGTGCCAAGCCAACAACAGCAAAGCTGGCTTTACTACCGGCTATCTTTCTGGCTTTCCCGAGTCTGACATCACCGCTGTTGAAAACCGCACTCTCAGCAACGGCAACGTTCCCTACTATGCCATTCACAAGACCATGGCTGGCTTGCTCGACGTTTGGCGCCACATCGGTGACACCAACGCGCGAGACGTTCTTCTTGCGATGGCAGCGTGGGTCGACTCTCGTACGGGAAAGCTTACGTATTCCCAGATGCAAGCCATGATGGCCACAGAATTTGGAGGAATGAATGAAGTCTTGGCCGACATCTTCCACCAAACCGGGGATCAACGTTGGCTCACTGTCGCACAGCGATTTGACCATGCCGCCATATTTGATCCTCTTGCTTCAAACCAGGATAGCCTCAATGGCTTGCACGCGAACACTCAAGTTCCAAAATGGATCGGTGCCTCACGCGAGTACAAAGCCACGGGAACTAGTCGATACCAGGACATCGCCCGTAACGCATGGAACATCACCGTCAGCGCGCATTCGTACGCAATTGGTGGGAACAGCCAGGCAGAGCACTTTAGGCTCCCCAATGCCATCGCTGCATTCTTGAATCAAGACACTTGCGAGGCTTGCAACACGTACAACATGCTCAAGCTCACACGAGAGCTTTGGTTGACGAACCCGAGCACCACAACTTACTTTGATTTTTATGAGCGTGCTTTGCTCAACCATTTGCTGGGCCAGCAGAACCCATCTGATGGTCATGGTCATATCACATACTTCACTCCCTTGAACCCGGGTGGACGTCGTGGCGTCGGCCCGGCCTGGGGCGGTGGAACCTGGAGTACAGACTATGACTCCTTCTGGTGCTGCCAAGGAACTGGGTTGGAAACAAACACAAAACTCATGGACTCCATCTACTTTTACGACAACTCTGCGCTCTACGTCAACCTGTTCATACCCTCTGTTCTGACATGGACTCAGCGCAGCGTCACTGTTGCCCAAACAACCGATTTTCCCCGCGGTGATACAACGACCCTGAAGGTCACTGGTGCTGGCAAATGGGTCATGCGTGTCCGTATCCCAGCATGGGCTTCTGGAGCTCAAGTTACTGTGAATGGCCAAGCCATAAGCAATGCCGCTGGAACATACGCGTCCATCGACCGCACCTGGGCCTCGGGCGATACCGTGGTTGTGAAGCTCCCTATGAAGCTACAAGTCATTCCTGCGAACGACAACCCCAGCATCGCCGCAATCGCCTACGGTCCTGTCATTTTGAGTGGAAATTATGGAAGCGAAACACTTTCTACTACCCCAGCGTTGAACTTGGCCACCGTGAAGAGAACTGGAACTACTGGATTGGCTTTTACGGCGACGGCGGGTGGCAAGACTGTGAACCTTGGACCCTTCTATGATGCCCAAGGTTTCAATTATAACGTGTACTGGTCCATCAGCGGAAACTTGCCCGCATGAGATGCGAAGAGACTCATCCGAATTCCACTCTTTCACATTACATTCCCGTACATACTTAAACACCTCGACTTTTTTGGGCACTAAGGAGAATGCACCCACAACTTATCGGGGAAACCATCGATAGCATAAGTGTGGGTAACATAAGTGTGTGAATAAATCGAGGCTATGATTCTGTAACTGAGATTCCCGTGTTGGACCATTGCTAGACTTGCAGAAACTGCCCATCTCTAGCAGCCTTGACCCTCACACACTGCCTGTTCACTTTCAAATATCGTTCGAAGGCGTCTGTGCCGATGACAAATGGATGTTGAGTGCCGTCTGGTCTATGATCCAAGAGATCGAAGTGATAGAGCGCTCGGTCTTGGTTCTGGTGGTTGGCAATGAGTGTATCCACATCCGCCTTCTTTGCCAGGTCCGCGAATCGGTTCAAAGACATGATTTGCTGGTCCTTGGCTGACGCACTGCTCGGAATGCCAACGCCGCCATAGAAGCCAGCGACATGGTTTGTGCCCTTGTCAAATACTTCAAAGATTGTCGACACAGTGCCTGGTGTATGCCCTGGCGTCACGAAAAAGCTGAATGTAACATTGCCGATAGTCAGTCGGTCACCATCTGAGATGGTTCTGTCCTTGATCGGCCCGTCCTGAATCTGCGATAGAGTTTCCCAAGCCGCAGCTGAGGCGTATGTGGCGAAGGAATAGTTATCTTGAAGCCATCGAGCCCCGCCATAATGATCAAAATGTTCATGGGTAATGACGAGATGTTTGATGTCGCTGGCAGTGAATCCAAGTGTCTCGAGAGAGGGGATCAGGATGCCTTCGGCCTCAGCAGCGTTGTTGAGAGCATCGAAGACAACGAGGCCATCACCAGTATTGTAAGCCCATGCCGAGACAGCACTCTGCCCAATGTAATATAATCGGTCAAAGACCTCGCGAGGGGCAATGAACCCTGATATCTGTGTGGCGGAGGAAAGCTCAGGGTAGACTTGGCCGAGAATGCAGCGGTGTGCAAAATATGGGTACAGATCTGGGCCTGCAAGCGTTCGTGCATCGTTCAACCATCTTGTGACATTGTCTTTTTGCTCCTTTGGAAATTCTGTAATGTTGAAGAAGTCTTCAAATTGCGCGCGGGCAAGACCCGCCAAAGCCATCAGGATCCACAACGTTGAGATGTTAGATTTCATGATGAATGCCTGACATAGAAAGCAGTCTTTAAAAGAAGGGTTTACGTTTCAACGTCTCGGCCAGTTAATTTATACACGCACTCAAATTCTCTGCTCGAATATACGTGGTCAAGCAGAATCTGCATGTCTGTGTTTCCGGGGCGCGTAACCATCTACCGAGACCAAAACAAGCCCAGATTTACTTAAGTCTCTGGCCTCCAAGCGAATCGCATACGGCTCCGGAAGGTGGTATCGAAATTGGAGTTCCTATGGTGTAGGATAATAATCCGGTAACCCACTGAAAACCGGAAAGCTGGGAGATGAGGGGTAGGCCGAACCAACATCACGGGGTCAATAGACCAGAGCGGTAGCAGCCTATAATCATTGGCTGGGGTCCAGAGGGGATATCCACTAGAAATTACTCCGTATTATCTGTTCATATGGGAAGACGGAAGGCGATACTCATTGAGTGATGAACCCTAATTGTCGGTACATTTTTCAAATGTTGTCCATGGTAAGATGCCGATAACCATAGCACAAGGTGTGATGGGACTCTATCGTGCAGTTCATGAAGAATACGACTACGTCTCATTCGTCTCGCAGATTATGTAGCTCATCAAGGATAGACGCAGTGGAAGGAGGCATCGGCAGCGATCCCTCCGCCTTCAGTGGTATCAAAAGTCTTCACATCTTCAACCTCTTTCTCAGGTCCTACTCTGCCTTTCCCAGCTTACGTATTTCAGCCCCGTACCAGGCCTAAGTGAACGAGTGTTAGTCGATCCGTAAAGATAAGCGATGTTGCATCTACATGGGTTGAGACTTACCGTCGCAGCGCCCTCGCCAATTGCCTTGAGTCCAAACTTCTTGGTGAACCAGGGCGCCTCGATCTTGCGCACGTACAACTTAGCGTCCTCGTCCTTGACAGTAGCTGCAAGAATGGTATTCTTTGGTAGTGCCGGGTTCAACACTGCAGGCCTGCCTAGTCCGATGAGATCGCAGCCTCTGTTTTCAAGGGCCGCCTCCATCCCTTGACGGCTACGAAAGCCGCCAGTCACCATTAAGGGGACATCTGGGAAGTCACGGCGGATCGCCCGAGCGAACTCAAGGAAGAAAGCTTCGCGTGCCTTTGTACGGTCTGACTTCTTTTCATCGGCCACACCAGTAGCCATCTTGTTGAAAACTTCGGTTAGCGTGAAATCGCAACTAGGAAGGCATTCTTGGTAACTATGAGATTAGTCGCCACTTACCAGGGGATCTTCATATGTGCCACCGCTGACCTCCAAAAAGTCAACCCCAGCATCAGTAATCAACTTGAGCTGTTCGATGCAGGCATCGAGCTCAGATTGAGACTGGTGGTCAACCGAGTTGAATTTGATTCCGACACAGAAGGTCTTCGGTACCACTTCACGGATCGCCCGGATGATTTCAACAACGATCTTCACACGGGCGGCCGGTGATCCGCCGTATTCGTCGGCTCGCTCGTTGCTTTTTTCGGACATGAATTGAGCTAGCAGGTAGCCGTGGGCGCCATGAATTTCCATCCCGGCGAAACCGGCGTCCGACGCCAATTCAGCCGTCTGGGCGAAGCGACGAACAACATCTTTGATATCAGCAACAGTCATTTGCCGAGGAGTACCGAAGACCAAAGAGCTGATAAGACGCGCGACAAGACCTTGCCCAAAGTTCAAAGGTATCGCACTGGGTGCAATTGCCTTTTCAAAAAAGCCACGCTTGCCAGCGCCAAGGGGAGATTGGCGGCCAGGATGGTTGACCTGGACAATGGTCGGGGTTCCATTCTTGTTGCAGACCTTCGCCCAGGCCTTCCAGGCATCCAGCTGCCGCTCATACGGAATAGAATCATTATATGCAATGTCTTTGGGCGAACCAAGGTACCTCTGGTCGACTTCCACATTGCCTTTCCACGTTGATTAGTCAGTTTATGCGCCGTATCTTATTGTGAGTATCAATCTAGAGCTGCCAGCTTGCCTACCGGTCAAGACCAATCCCCAACCACCATCGGCCCATTCAGCATAAGGTGCATGGAAAGCAGGGGAGGGTAAGCCTTCGCTGTCGGCCATGTTCTCGGCCATCGCCGCTTTTGTGAGGCGGTTGGGCAAAGTAAGGCCACATGCTAACGTCAATGGCTTCGCGATTGCCGAGTTTGACATGGTTCCTGTGTTTCGAAGATTGGTCTCTCTAGAAATCTGAGTGGAGTCAATTTCGAATCTGCTTCACTCGGTTGGAGATGCAGAAGCAAAGTACTAAGTTAGTTGAGTTCGATTTCTACGAATAAAGGAGAGTGTGACGACTTTTGAATGTTGAATCAAAACACGCTCTTATCGTATTCTTCAATTGAGTGAAATCTCAACTCCGCTGGTTTGACGGACGAAACGCCGCCGCATGGCCACCACAGTCCCACAATAGGAGCTTTAACCTCAGGCGTCATTCAAGCCTAGTCTTATCAAGAACTGATTACAAAGATCGAGTCACCGGTGAAACGAAGGACCCCCACTACATCGGATCAGAATCAGCCCGTTCAATGGAACTGTGTGTATCTGAGATTTGTGCCGAGGTATGGCGCAGTTGGTTTTTATTGCCAGCCGCGCCGAAGATTTGTCTAGCGTCCTCAAACCGGCAGAATAGTCCCGCCGATTTCATCCTGCGGAGTTTGTCATTCAATTAATTACCTTAGCTTACTGAGCTTCAACACAGACAGGGGACGGATTTTGCACCTTGACTAGAACCAATTTTTGAGCCGTACTTCCACCGGACCCGGACTTTAACCACTTCGCCGCCTACGCAGCGTGTCAATGCTTCAGACTGATGCGTGAGGCATTACGCCAGCGGAAGGCCGTAAAGACTTTGGACGCTCATCTTGCAGTGCAGACGCAGGATAGCATGCGTCCGACCATTGTCAACGTAGGTTGGTGAACGATCAAGGCTCATCTCTCAATCCACATTATGCACAGTGAAACGGCCTCCGCGAGAAATACAGATTTTGAAGTCGGCCTGGAGGCTTATGGTTAAGCAAACCTAAATTATCCAGTTGCAATGGACTGGAAGACATTCCTTGTGTTTATCAAATTCTGCGGCCCAAATCGCACCGAGCATGGGAAGCATGTCGTGCCAGCTCTACGCCACATCTGCACGTCAGATGCGGGACGAACCGAAGCACCTCCACTTACCAAGTTGAATGTAGGTTCTTGAGCTATCACTCTATCCTCTGATAATGGAATGCTCATTGAGTGGAAGCGAGGTTCAATGCCGAAAATTTGCGTGCATTTTTCATTCAAGGTGAGGGTCAGTGAGGCCCGGGGACGGCACGCGGTATTGCAAAACTTCTCAGGTGCGTCATTGTGTTCGCGTGCCCTTTGACACGGTCGGCCTCGCGAGATGATGGACATATATCATTGCGGCACGGCCTGGAAAAAGATTGTGTTAACGACCAGAGGAGAGTTTCCAATATCATCGCGTTGCGGGTGGGTAATTGGAACTGCCAGCTGGAGCTTGCGGAAACGTGGCAAGGTAGCCGAAGGACGGACGGCGTAAATGCTTTCGACACAGGTGACGATGTTTGCCCCGTCGGAATGCTTCTAGATTCGAATATTCTGCCTGTTACCGACATGTCACCGAGCGAAGATTGATCAGTGACAGTAATCTTCATCGATTCCACGTGAAAGAATCCAGCCTGGGCTTCTCAACTTGACTGGTCTATCACTGTTGGTGCGCGACAAATGTGAACACTAGTACGGATACTACCCCATGTTTCCCTAAACTCCATTTTTTTATCGTCATGCAGGTTGTCTCGGCTCTAAATCTCTTACTAGAAGCTACCCTGGATCTCGTGATGGCACAGCGGCATTTTAAGACCGAGATTCGGACCGTTGTGGAAAAGTCTTACGCCTACTACAGTCTTCATAATCTCTCTCCCTTCTTTTTCACGGCCATATTACTTCAAAATTCTCTGCAATCGGTCCCTCGGGCATGGTGCTCCGCAACTCAGGCCGGGGATGGTCCTTGCTCACCACCCTCGTTAACCCCAAAGCAGCCCACGTCTCCGCGTCCCCGCGTGATCTTGGGATGCTTGACTCAGGGATTCGAGAGCAGGCTTCAAGCGGAGCAATAACGAGGAGGTCATTCATGGGCAGAGAAAACGTCTGAATGATGCCGGCAAAGCACCGAAGACGGTCGGCTGTTGAGCCGAATTGGGCAGCTGGGGGGATTTCAGAAATATGAATACTCCCTAGTCATGTGAAATGAGGGGAAAGAAACCGACAATCGACCGATCGACAGGTACGGGGAAACAAGCTTAAACGGCCGCTTGCTATTAGGTGATTTTGGGGCATCCTGTAGCCCTGTAAATGTCTCGGGTCTCGCGTGCCTGGTGCTGTGTACCAGATTGACACTTACATATGCTAGCGTGCGTCAATGGTACTCCTTGGCCTACAGCTTACCCCAACTTCTGCTTACAGGCAGCTTACTGCCCACCTCTGGAGGTGCTGACCACCTCGCTCTCGCTGCCGACACCCCCGAGCCGAGCAGGTGGGAAGACGACTCCGCCTACGTGTGAGGTTGCATTTTACACCACATGGGATCATGGGCATCTTTTCTCCGCCAAGAAAGGATAATTCTATGTATTTCTCCCCTTTTGCCAGCAAATACGGAGTATACCGTTAGCCTAAAAGATCATCTATCTAGCCCGACGCAACTGACTGTCAGCAACGGGGGAATGCGACTCCCTGAAGACTGGTGAATTGAGATGCGTTCGATCTGGCCGCGAGCGACTCGCAAGCTTTCTTAGTAGCCCAAATCAAAGCTCATTTCTAAATGTGCTCTTGTGGACCTTGATGCTCGATCGGATCCCTAAGGTAGGGATGGGTGAGACAACTCAATATCTTGTCAAGGGGAACCCCGATGCTACTATGCCTGTCAGGAGTTACGATCAGACGAACTGTCGGTCTGGGCATCTCAGGGGCTAGACGAATCGATATTGGATACCCACCATTCACGCAACGGGTTTCCCCAACTTCTTCCACGGTAACATCTCAAGAGGGGGTCACTAGTTGAAAAGGGCCGTTTCCCTCCCGTGTACTTTACCATCGTTCGATAGTGACATGTGAATGCTTGCGGGGCAGAAAGGAGACAACACCATGCATGTATCGTGGGGTTCTCGGCAGTGTTCCCCGCGTCGTGTTGTAACGGACCACCAGACGTGTAGGGCTAGGCAGTTCTGGTGTTTGTCGACCCAGTTATTTCAATCTACTGAAATGAAGCCCAGAACATCGACATGTGGCTGCAGACCACCTAGAAGGATGGCAGGATAAATACGCTTGAGAGTATATAACGAGAGAAACTCTCTTGGAAAATGAAGACGAGAATCAGAACGGCATTGTGCATTCTCGAGGACAACCAGATCGCTCATTTCCACCTCCTTTGCTTCATTTGATTTCCAATTGCACCTTGTTACTCTCTTTTGATTCACAGCTCCTAAGGGTTCTTTCTAAGACACCACTATCACGAATCCATTCCGATGGCGATCAACAAGGTCGTTGCGGCTCTCGCCGTTGGTCTGACCGCTGTTCATGGTGCAGTTCCAACAATCCCTGGCTTCAGTCTCACGTGGAGTGACGACTTTGTCGGCTCTGCGAACAGTTTGCCCAATACCGGCAACTGGATCATCGACACCGGCACTTCCTATCCTGGCGGACCTGCCAACTGGGGTACCGGAGAAATCCAGACCTATACGAGCAGCGTCAACAATCTTCGCCTCAACGGAAATGGAGCTCTGCAGATTACAGCCATTAAAGCTTCATCTGGTTCATGGACATCTGCTCGTATCGAGTCTCAGCGTGGAGACTTCATGGCTCAAGCTGGTGGCAAGATGCGTGTCCAAGCCAGCCTTAATCTGCCCGTGGTTGGTAGCAATGGTATTGGCTATTGGCCAGCATTTTGGACTCTTGGGAATGCATACCGCGGTAACTATTGGTGAGTCACCAAAGTAAGGGCGCGGTGTCAAGCTATGTACTGACATTGATGTAAGGAACTGGCCGGCCATTGGGGAATTTGATATCATGGAGAACGTCAACGGCATCAACCGCGTTTGGGGTGTCATGCACTGCGGTGTCAACCCCGGAGGTCCCTGCAAAGAGACTGATGGTCTCGTTGGGAGCCGCGAGTGCCCCAACAGTGCCTGCCAGGGCAACTTCCACACCTACACCCTCGAAGTTGACCGCACCGCTGAGCTTGAGGCTGTAAGATGGTTCGTTGATGGCATCCTGTTCTGGCAAGTCGTCGAGACCGATTTGCCCGCAGACGTTTGGACCCAGGCGGTCCACTCGCCTCACTTCATTCTGCTGAATCTCGCAATTGGCGGTGCATTCCCGAACAACAACTACGGGAGCACCACGCCTCTTGCGAACACAATTTCTGGGGGTACTCTCCAAGCTGAGTATATTGCTGTATACAATGCTTGATGTCTTCTAAATTGATGAGGAACGAACGCGAAGAGCTTCTTCTGGTGGCTCAGCCAATTCGGCAGACCATTTTATCTAGGCAGGCCAATTTTCGTGTCAAAGTGCGCTGCAACCTTCTGGATCTTACAATGTACATATTAGCGTCGGTGTCTCTCCGACTATGACAGTGCCGCTACTACGTCTCTAGTAAAGGAGTTTTTGAACGGAGAGAATGAATATAAGGTGATTGCTTCGGAAATTTTAGACTCGATCCGGTGCCATTCGTCACGAGGTACGCTGCACCTTTTCTTCTGGCCAAGACCAACTTTTCAACCCGTGCTCAGGTGATCAATACTGGGGCCAAAGTGTTTTTTCGTCCGGCAATTGTCATATGGTTTATCCATCGTAAGTTGATGACACGGTAAATTCGGTAATTGGTTCAGGTTGGGTCAGATATTGCGACCATGAGGTCTGGAACTAGGAAATGACGCAAAGATGGGTATTATTGACACGACGTACGGATCCAATTGAAGCTTAGTTAACCTGAAGAAGCTCCTAAAGCACAGATATAGACCGACTTGACACCATTGTAAGCTGGAACTTAGCGTTTAATGACGTAGCGTTGCCCATATTATCGCCAATGGTGAAAGATCTTTCACCTTCGTCCTACCTTTTTTTTGCTGCCAAATTTCGCATGAAGATAGGTGGAGAGAAGGAGAACGTTCCTACTTTGTTCCCGTGGTCCAGTGCTCGATCGGACTTTAGGTTCTTTGCAGCATGCTGCATTGTTTGATTAAACATTGATATATGTGTATACTTTTCGCATATAAATTATTCACAATGAAGATCGAATGATGCTTTGACCGCAAGTTCGGACTATAGATCTCATCAACGGTCGGCCATAGCTGATTCTAAGAAGTTTGGCAAAGTGACTACGGGGGCAACGTGATGTTCTTAGCTCGCGAGTTTGAGACGACGATAGCTTGTGGCCAATCCAGGTCTCCGCACAGTGGCGATAATAACTTTTCGTCCATTAAGGAACCGGTTCCTTGTCTCTGTCCTCCACGAACAATGTTAGTTATGCTCAGCAGCAACTAACAATGAGTTCGAGTTGATAGAGGATTGAATCGAGTCATTCATACCTTGCCAATTATGTTTTGAAACAATTTTGGACTAGTGTTGGCATACCTTCGGGTTCCACCGGGACGATCATTCGCGAAAAGTTCGTGTGACTCAATGATCCTTGATCGCTCCGATGCTTAACAAATTCAGGTATTGTGACCTACCGACATAAAACCTCACAGCTACAACTTGAATCTCAACGACCTTCATCTTTCTGCGGCAACTCTATTTGATAATGACGGAACTCTTAAAATCAGCCTATAACCAGGAACAGGTAGCTCTCTTCGAAGAGCTCATCTGTCTCCCTACAAAGTACAGGCAATGCAACAGGCCGGTTCGTAATCTAGCTTATCTCACCGCCCTCCACGTACATACCATCTCAACCATTCCTTATGAGAATCTGTCTTTGCACTACTCCGAATCGCGGCTGGTTGAGCTAGACCCTCAGCTGCTGTTTGAGAAGTTAGTCACAGGCGGTCGGGGCCGAGGTGGTTACTGCATGGAAGTCAGTATTCTGATGAACCATGTTCTGAGGACACTTGGGTTCCAGGCATACATGACTGGGGTTCGAATCCGATTGCGGAAGGATGGTGTGCCTAGCGGTGACTACATTGGCTAGTAAGTAACTGTACTGCGTCTGCTAGATCTTCCAATTCCTAGGTTATCAGCTCATATTCGTCAGTACACACATGGTCAGCCTTGTAGGCCTCCCAGACAAAACCCAGTACATGATTGATGTAGCATTTGGAGGTGACGGCGCCACCAAGCCAATCCCCTTGAAGCATGATCAAGTATTACGAAATCTTGGTACCCAAGAGGTCCGCTTAGTGCGTGGCCACATTCCGAATCAAGTTTTTCGAACAGAAGCTTCAAAGCTCTGGATTTACCAGTACCGAAACGGACCAGCAAAGGAGTGGAACTCCTTTTACGCCTTCTCCGAGCAGGAATTCTTGGAACCGGACTTCAAAGTCATGAACTGGTACACAAGCACGTCACCTCACTCTTTCCAGAGATTTTGCCCATTAGTTGTTAAGTTTCTCAGAAAGAGGGAAACTCTCAACGATGGGGCTAAAGATGATGGAGAGATTGTCGGCAAGAGGATGTTGGTAGGCTCTATTCTGAAGGAGAACATGGGAGGGAAGACTCGTGTGGTTAAAGACTGTCAAGACGAGAGCGACAGGGTCAAGGCGTTGGAGGAGTGGTTTGGGATCCGTTTAACCACTGGAGAAATGACAGGTATTAAAGGACATTGGACAGAGATTGGAAGGAAAACTGCGAATTCGAGCGCTCCATGATTCCACGTTTGGCTCTCGCCCGTGTACCGTACAGACCTTCCTTGGTGCGGTCAATCTGGAAATGTCAGGGCCACGGCGATTCTTCTCGGCATCCCTGGACTCTACGGTGACGCGATTCACCTGGGGAAATATTCTTGTTTCTGTTGACCAACATTTTTGCTTAATGCAACTTGTGCTTGTTGAGTGATTTTATGTCATGGTGAGGTCAATATTGTGTGACATGATTGATGAGCCAGGTACCTTTGCCGCATGTGCTACTTGCACACCTATGTCCACTTCCCCAATCATTTCATACAAGACATAGGTAATGTATCTTATGGAAGCATCAGAATGTCCTCAGTATCGCAGACGAAGTGCTCAACTCACCAACAAGATCTACTATCATCGGCGTACGCCATTTATAACATTTCAAATCGGACCGTGCCGTATACTACCGTGCGGAACGCGATAATACCCCACCTCCGCAATAGTCCAGCCGGTCCCGGGAAACCCCCGACGATTAAAGTCGCCGGACTGCATTGTTACTTTCCATCAGAACTTTGGCGGAGCACCTTTGCCATTCAGCCGCCTCCGGATGGCTTACCGACGCGTCACCTATCCCCGGATAGTCAACCGCCGGGTTGCCTGATGCCGAGTGGTCTGTCCGCCTTGTCGTCGATTTGATGGGCTGAGTGGGCCAAGCCTACAGGTTATGGTGCGCAAATGAAACATGTTTCCCCGGCTCGACCCTCCCGATGATCACCTGTCCTCATTCGTGGCTAAACCAAATTCTAGTATGGCTTAGCAATACCTACCTCACCGTTTGGCGCATTCTTGAGCTATTTGATGCTTGTCGATAACTGAGCCTGACATTCAAATAGCACTAAGACTGGATGGCAGAATGTTTCCGAGACCAAATGACAATCCTTTCAAGATGGCACCAGCCCTTGGGCGGGCAGTGGTTCGATCCAGTGCAAAGGCTGCACACCCATCTAGAGAGAAGCGATCATAACCTTGGATAAGGTTGCGAGCTAGTGAATGTTAACAATCGAGGCACATGCCCTTTTCAAAAAGCGTATCTGGGTAACCCTATGATTTGAGGAACCTCTATTCTTTCTCCATTGGCAGATCTCTGCATCCCTTGAGCTCTGGCGAGTGGCAGCTCAAGTGCCCCAAAAACAAAAAAGAGAGGCTAGATACTCATCAGCTTACAGATGGATCCATATCGACGACGGGTGAACGGCCAATCAATGATAAGACAGTGACAATGTTACCGCAAGCCCGATTTGAAACATCAACTGACTGCACCAGTCGTACTGGGAAGGGGTAAGGTCGTGACTCGCCTGTGCAACCTCCGTCTTCCGGAATGCCTCTCGCAGATCGAAAAAGCGGAGATGAACCTTGATCTAGACGTAGCATCACGTCGAACATTGTTTCAAGCTCCCGATCGAGATGTGATGGTGGGTATTGATGTGGGCATTTGAACCTACCGTGATTGTGAGGAGCTTTGCGCCGGGCAGTACCGCCTCAAATCGCCAACCACTTGCAAGCTCTGCAGTAGCCTCAACTTGTTAGCAAGATGCTGTCAATACTTCCTCAAGTACTCTGACTTGAACATACTGCCTACGACGATTGAGGGCCAAAGTCCCGTCGTCGTTGTCAGTCAAAGCCAATTTTTGGACTACCTTATGCTACCTGCATTCTAAATATAAGTAATCCCTCCATATGGGCCGAATGCTGCAGCAATTGCTTGACGCCGGGTGGATGAGTCGGATAGAGGATTACAACTACTTCTCTAAGCTTGAACACCATCTCCTACTGCGGGGGTGCTCGATCAAAAACTTGAATGGCATTGGGAGGAGATATTCCATGCAGCCTCGGAACGTCGACGCTATGTGCCCTTTGTCTGTGAGTAATGCTATTATTAGCAATGAGTCGCGGTCATCAGACGTAGACTTTAACTCTGTTTCATTCCTGTCAACTGGACGTAAGTGGTTCGTGTGTAAAAAGCTTGAAACCAAACCAACTGGATAGTTCAACTTACCGAAGTTCAGATGAGTTCCCCTGCGCCGAGTGTCGCACCGACAGCACGATTTGAACTAAAGTCCACCAGTTGTGTTCCTAGGACACAGTCTCCCATCCAAAAGATAGGGTCGAATGTGAATATTAATGGCAGACGCTCCTGTGTTCTCTAATTGCTTGCTGCCTCGATATGTACCATTATCCTGAGCGATCAAGATTGTCTTTGCTCCCTGTTAACCGTCCAAAACATCGTGTCTCCCCTTCTAGACACTGTCACTTTTGTGTAACAACGTAATAACGTGAAGTGGGAGGCATTCTAGCAGCGGTAAGAGACCTTAGACAGCTTGACCATGAGGGTTTTGCATCGCTAACACATATTTAGGTACGAAAACACGGACAAGATGGCACGATTTTCGTTGACTCGCAGAAAGCCTCCACTACCAAGGCTGAATCTTGATTCAAGGCACCAATATCAGGGACGACAAGCACCACCACCGCCGCCTCCTCAAGGACCCCCGCCTCCTTCACCAACGCCGCCGCCACCCCCAGAGGGACCTCCCCCAGTCTCACCACCCCCTCCTCCTCCGCCAGAAGGGCCTCTTCCGCCAGAAGGGCCTCCTCCGCCATCGCCACCGCCGCCTCCTCCCCCAGAGGGGCCACCGCCACCACCGCCTCCATCACCACCTCCTCCACCACCTCCCCCATCCCCTCGACCACCGCCGCCTCCACCCCCACCCCCAGGAGGGCCTCCTCCACCCCCCGGACCGCCGCCGCCACCGCCGCCGCCGGCATCAAGAGGTCCAACGAACACCGTCTTTATTACCTTAGCACCCCCGACAGTGACCGTAGTTGCCACACAAGTCCCGGCAGCTGACCAGAACACGGCATTACGCAGCGGTGATGGACTGAAACAATACCAGCCACCGGCGATCAACATAAATATGACCCAGGGCGTTCCCACTTTTACCGAGGTCGGTATCGCGATTCTCGGCTTTGTATCAGGAATAGGTAGGTGGAACAACCATGAGGAGAAACAATTCGTCCCCAGATTCCTACATCTACTAACATGGCACTAATCTCAGTCACCATATTGGTGTTCTTACTGGCTGGATACTTCGTTTGGCGTCGGCGGCGACGTCGCCGTAGACAGCGCGAGACAGAGCCCGAACCCGAAGTATTGGACTTACGAGCCTATCAAGGGCCGACACATAATGACGGAAAGTTGGGTTGACATTTGGAGTCTTTGTCACTGATACTGGAATTTCCACTCAATCCCCTCTCCAGGTTATGGCCTTTTTGATCCTCTTTTTTTTCCCTCAGTATGCTTACAATACTGCCACCTTCGTTGGAAGTTGTGTGGCGGGTCTTGGGAATCCAATCAGATTGACACGGTGTGACGATTCATAAACAATCTTGTAATGATACACTTATTTCTCAACAGTCATGTCATGTTGAGACACAATATGCTCGTGTTCCTGCGGTGATCAACGCACGGTCTCCGGTCCATGTGCAGAGAGCCCCTGATGATGGGATAAGGCTAAGCACCGATTTGAGTCCTAAAGCTCTAGCTGTGTGCATCCCAAAACAAAGCCACTACTGCAGACGGCATTTCGGATGGACAGTAGTTTACATATTCCTGCAGGCTATCCATCCACAGAAGTATATCGAGTGGAAATTATTCTGAGTCTCTTGGCACTCACTAATAGTGCCTTGGACAATACTCCCGAGGCGCCGATGATTACCGAAACGTTTGTCCAAGAAGTCATCACAATCCTGAACATGGGATTCACGTGAAACGTTTCGGAGAAATTCTCTCAATTTTCATACCTGAGCCAAAAATTAATCACTAGTGCCGGGATGAAAATAACTTCGCAATTCGGTATCAAGAGGTCGGTATCATTATTCAACCCAGACATAGCAAAGCTGCGTGTCGAAAATTTTCGGTCACGTCGACCCATATCGTGGTCTTTCTTTCTCGAATATCAACTCCATACAAGGTTTCGTGTTATTAAAAAAAGATAACATACTACATTACGACTAGATTCTGTCTCTTAGATTCTCCGACATCATGGGCAGGCCAGCATATCGCAATGAGTACTGTTACGGCGTCGAAATATCGCATTTGTGCTCAATACATCCAAAAAGTCCCAACGTAACTGTCTGGGGAGTAAAAATGCGGTTTAATTGCGAGCTAGCAACATCCGAGGGTGGCAATTTCAATTCAAGTTTCTAGGGGTCACATCAGTATTCATTTCTATGAAGTAAGGTTTGCTTAATGCCATGTCAGATGGAAGGGAATCGCAAGAAGAGCTTTTGGGATCGTTTATACCTTGAGTACCTATGGAAAGGCCGTTTTGTGCGTGCTCCTGTTGGCCTGCACAAGTGAACATCATACACAAGAGTGGGCTGGTAGACTCGGCAAATCCGTAGACTACAAAAATGCAACCTTTTCTTACTGCAAACGGCAGGGATTTGTATCTTTCGACGGCGTCACCGACAAGTTGGGTGTAAGGCCTTGCGGCACGAGCTCTCAATTTGCTCGCGCGAGTCAGGCGTCCCCAGCAGCCGCCAATCATCAGTACGGCCGACAATTGCACAGGATATTACCGCACTGACAAATTTATGGCAATTGATTAATTCAAGGGATCCTCATGGAGTAGCAGGCCCGCCAAGCCACAATGCTGTGGGATGCCGACGATGAAAGATGCTTAATTTGGACACAACGGCTTTGAGCAGAATCCGGCCAGGAGAAGATAAAAACATAAGCGTTTCCAAAATTTAGGAAAATGACTGTGCTAGTCAATCGCTACTCACTCTATTCTCATTCACGCTCTTTACCTGACACCTTAGTCAGAACGTTGTCCGCTGAGCATCAGATCAACTCATCCGAATCGCCTATCCTACAGCCAATTGTATGCAAACATCTGGAACCAGCTTAAAGTTCGGAACTATCTGCAGATAATGCCTGTTATCCAACGCTTGGCTCGTGCAGCCTACAACAGCCCTATCCACCACTTGCTAGCTCGCAATGGCGATTCAGATGACGACGACAATGATGGCGGCATCCGCATCATTCCCGGCGGGATAGTGGCAATAATCGTCGTCTGCGTTCTTGCCCTTGTCTCTGTAGTTGCATGCTGCTGTTGCTGCCGCAGGCGAAAGCGCAGGGGTACCGAAGGCGGCAGCAAGGAAGGCAGCTCCAGCGACGGAAACAAGACGCAGCTCGATCCGACGAAGTACATCAAGAAAGTTGTCAAAAAGTGCATGAAGAAGATCAAGAAGATGGTCTCGAAGAAAAACAAGAAGGCGAAGGGTGGAGCGGCACCTCGACAAGAAGGAACTCCATACGGCCAAGGGACTCATCCTGGCTATGGGCAAAATGAGCGCTCAATGGGATACAGTGGGGGATACGACAGACTAGATGGTGAGAATGAGGAACGGGTTGCGTTGTCCTCAGCACCCTATGGAGCACGGGGCGATCATTAGAGAAGTGATCTCAAAACAATTACCAAGAACATATTTTCTTTCATAGTGAAACCTCGCCGATCAGCGGCTGCACAGCATAATACAGCCTGAAGTTTGAATGCAGATGGTAGCCATTGTCGCGGCATTGATGATCTTGTTCTCAAATGCAATAATGACCATTGAAAGGCACCTGGCGAATAGGCATTGCCATCAAGCTTGGACTTCACTCACGCTGGGCGTCAAAAAATGAGCTATTTGCCTCGCACTACTGGGCAGTCCCTCCTAAGATCTTCAGAAAAGCAGCAACAGATAGTTATTAGAGTTACCAAGGCGCAGTGATGGTATTGGTTGTGCTACATAAGACCATTGTCAGGGAGAGTGTGCTACCGAGTGAGTTGGGGGGAAGGATAGAGGGAGAGCACATGCTGTTCCCCTGTGAAGACCGTCTCACAGCACTTGAACCAAGACGGGCTAGTATTCCAGCCTGAATCAAGTAACTACTTGCGTGAACTCAAGATGAATCGAGTATATGTAGGTAAGGTATCCGTATACGAGTAATTAAGGTATCAAATGACTCATTCTGTGCTCCGTAGGAAGTAGTATAGTTGCGCTGAATGACATTGGCCTTCATAAGCATACAGCATGAAACACGCTGAGAGCGGTGTTTGCCTATGCAAATAGGATATGAGTAATCAGCCACTCGTTTCTTTAGGAACCAAGGTAAGATAGGTCTGTGACTGTTAGAGCAGTGAGTTGGTTCATTTCAACAAACTCTTTAAACACTGCGGAAACATCAGGGCTAGCCTCAGCGAAGTAAATTGTCTATTGTACCCACATCGTCTCCTCTCGAGTACTCTCTCGGCTTAAGACGGCAACCCTGTACGGGACATCACCCAGATTCCTTGATTATGGGCCAGTGAACGTCTAGCAACACAGGACCAGAGGCTTCATTCCTGCATACTAAAGTCGTCCCTAGCAGGTGGTCTAGCTCAAATAACATGTGGAAAGGCCAATGTATTCGATGGAATCTCGAATCTCTTCTCGCGATATGGATCCATCGACTTGCTTCTCTCCTCGGCAGCTTTTCATCGTTCCTCTGTCATTTCGAGCGCAGTGCCCTGGTCATCGAGTCTTTCGCTGTGTACGAAAGGGCATGAGAACAAAAACGTCCCAGGCACCAGTGCTCGAAGCTAGCTCCAGCCTCTCTCCAGCGCTCCCAGGCATTCGGTCGTTGCAAAGCAGGCAAGGTGAGCCAAGAGTGAGCGATCAGATAATGAACATAAATTCTGTAGGAAAGAATGCTACATAGATGGATGTTCGATAAATCCTATTGATGTGAATAAAGCCTAGATTGTAACAAGCCCAAATCTTTGGAATTAAAAACTGATTAGTGATGGAACCCAACCTAAAAACAGCGCTGGTTCAATAACCGTCGACTCTTCGGGATAGTAGTCTCGGCCCTTGGTCGAGGAGTAGAGTCGGCCCGTCGAGACACTGCTCGGAAGATGTTAATTGAAGAATGAGGGAGAAAAGACATCATATCCGTCATATCAAAGACGGTGTCTTGCTAATGGTGACGAGTGCAGTCCACCAAGCAGCTTTAGCCTCATGTGGGTTGAATCCGAGCGCTTTCTTCGTCTATCCCAGGCTCAGGAGCCGCTTTATCTAAACTAACTCGATCGAATTTGAAATCTAAGCCAAAGCAGATTTAGAAACATTCAATAAAATGTTCCTTTTACTTAGTATTGACTTAGAAAGGAATTCAATGTTCTTCTATTTTAAGAATAAACTCTTACAGTATAAGTATGTATAAAAAAAGCTCTAAGATAGAATATTTATCCAAGGGCAAAGAAAAAAAATCAAGTCTAAGTATATCAATACCAAAATCCGGTTGGTTAAAGGTGGGAAATATTATCCGTCCTTAAGAGCTATGCGTCCGGAAGTGGCGCTCTAGGCATACATACGTCATTCGTAAAGGCGCTGACACTGTGGGGTAAGAGAGGATTTAGTGGAATCTAATCTCCGCTAATGCCTACACCAATGTGGTCTATCTTTGAGTATAAGACTGGGCTGAAGCTCTATCGCCGCTTTCCGTTTAACTCATGTCATCTACAATCACCTACTTGGACAACGCCAGTATATCTCATAGCCTCGTTATTTATCCCCGCATATACCAGTGATATCCCTTAACCTTTCACGCAATGCCCATCCCCGGAATCCCTCAACCGGCTGTGCCTTATGGTAGCCTCGTCGTCATTTCCGGCGTGAGTGGCTTCATCGGCTCTCACGTCGCCGACCAAACTATATCAGCTGGGTACAGGGTGCGTGGTACGACGCGAGACGTCTCTAAGAGTCAGTGGTTGGAAGATTATTTCCAAACCAAGTACGGCAGCGATATGTTCCACCTAGCCTCTGTTCCAGACATGGAAGCTCCAGACGCATTCAACGAAGCAGTCCAAGGTATGAAAGTTTTCCCACACTCACAATGAGCAGGAGCTGATTCCGCAGGGGCTGTTGGCTTCATCCATGTGGCCAACGACATGCAGGGGTCTCGAGATCCGGCCGTCGCCATCCCTAGAGCAGTGAATGGTGCATTGAATGCCGCCAAGGCATCATCGGAAGCCGGTTTGAATAGATTCGTCTTCACGTCATCCTCCTTCGCGGTTACCCAACCTAAGCCCGGAAAGGTCTTTACACTTACTGCCGAGAGTTTCAACGAGGAAGCAGTTGAACGCATTAAGCAACCTGGAGCCGACGGGGAAACTGTCTACTCCGCCAGCAAAGTGGAGGCGGAGCGCGCTCTCTCGCGTTGGGCGAAGGAGAATAAATCATCCTTAATCATAAACACAGGTAATTTATTGGAAATAGTTGGACTAACGTATGGTAATTAACATCGAGTCAGTTCAACCTAATGCGAACATCGGCCCGCTTATCAATGCTGAAAAACAAGGTTACCCGACCTCGGCTAGATGGGTCAAGAAGTTGTGGGATCAAGATTATGACTCCTTGAGGGACACACCTCCTCAGCACTTTGTCAACGTACAAGACGATGCCCGCTTGCATGTCATTGGATTGGTTCATCCACAGGTACGAGGAGAGCGTCTTTTTGCCATTGCTGGGCCCGTAAACCTACAGGACATAATAGAGATTTTGCGGGAGTCATATCCTTTCAAGCATTGGGAAGATTTTCCGACCAATGAGAGAGATCTGAGCTCCTTCATACCCAGCAGAAGGGCGGAGGAGCTGCTCATTGAGGCCTACGGTGCAGGTTTCATTGGGCTTGTAGAGAGTGTAAAGGGTAATGCAGCCAATCTGGTTTAGGGTTATCTCATCGGTCTAGCTCGGAAATAACTTCCAGATGGCGAGTAAAATAAAGCTGGATACCCGTCGACTGTTTTGACAACACTTGGGAGTAGACAGGAGATATCGGTCATTTTGATTCGGATGCCAACTGTACTACTATTTATCGTCACGAATAACTTGGCAATCAGAGTGCTGGGCGGATGAATTGATTTAACACTTAATCATGTTGGAGACTACTCCTTCTCTCTCTTTCCACCTCGCCCTCTTACTTTTCATCTGCCTCGACCACTGCCTTCCTTCTTCCTTCTCCCTTTCCCACTTCAACTGCTAAACTTACCCGCCGTCTGCTATCGAATCCTTGGCATAATTATTGGGCAGATGATGCCGATCCAATACGGTACTACGAGGATTCGCTCATTTAAGGGTCTTTGTTGTGCCTGATTCAAAGCCTTTCTTCCCACACCGGCCCAAAGGGGGTTAAGCCTTATACCTCCGTCAGCACCGGCTTTTGCATATAACTCAATGTATTTCTGGCATCAAGCATGGGGTCAACTTATCGTTCGGCAACATGCAGGTGGTGGTGTCACTGGGAGTGCTTTGAGCGTTGTTCGACGCAAACAACCAGCGTGGTTGAGATTTCGTGGGGTTCACTTCGTGGGGTTCAATATTTTGTAGCAGCAACTCCCCTTTTACTTTGGTACGCACAAGCATCGCGTATGCGAGTAATCACGCGTACCTTACACAGGTACTTCTATGGCGAAGCCCAGTCGAGATGTGGTGGTTGGGACCTCGGAGTCCTTGGACTGATTTCATCAGCCGCGACAGCATGTGCAGATTCTGAGGCTACCTTCGCTATCGGCGCCAATCACCACTTCTATTTGTTCCATCGTTAGCTCTGTATACGCTGCAACTTTATGTAACTAAGGTAGTTAATACTACCTTAGTTATGGATATAGCGTAATGAAGTCTGATGGGTAGTTTCAGCACAATTATCCAGAGAAGACACTGTGTGGAATGGACTAACTTCTGTGAATGACTCTAGACTGATCGAGTATTCTACATTAGAGCACTACATCATTGAACCTAACTCAGTGATTTACGACTAGTGCTCTGAGGATCCGAACCCACCATTGCAAAGTATAGACGAGCTCGAATGATCGAGTACCTGCTGACATTTGACCTTCGTCTTCTTAACGCTGGACTTGCTGATCGCCGGCGACTTCCTGACCCATTTACCGCTCTCGATCTCATCAACAAACCAGCTCGCTAACGTAGCCCTCTTCATACCAGCCTTCCATCCAGGCTTCGCAATATACCCAGCATACGTCGGCTGATCCTCACGATCCGCTCTCCAACTATCCTCGTCCGACTCGCCACTAATAAAGCCGATACGAAACAGGGTCCGGTCCAGCCCGTCCGCCTCCTCTTTAAATACGCGTCCGAGGTCGATAATTGCGTTGTACGCCGTCGACGCGATGATGCGGGTGAGGATAGCCAGCAGGAAGCGGGTGAACGAGGACGAGTCTTCGGTGATGGATAGTGTGCCCATGGCGAGGATGCGCTTCACATCGTTTTGCGCATGAGGGGGAAAAGAGCTGAGTAGATGCTCGAGTACGTCGTCTTCTCTACGACGCTCGATTGCGTTGGAGCAGGAGTGAGATGATGGCTTTGCTCCCCGCGACGGCGCTTTCGAGCTTGTCCGACTCGTACATCAGCCCCTGGATGACCTATCGATAGACTGAGTTTATAACTCCATGCTGAAAAAGAAGTTGTCTAGGCTCCTTACTTACTTGAAGCAGTGGGCTGCTCGCCAGGTCTGCGGGGATCTTGGACGCGTTCCTGACGTAGGCAATGATCCCATGTTGTCGATGCAGCAGCTCTCGCAGCAAAAGTAAACCTGCAGGACCTGTCGCACCAAGTACAGGAATCTTGATGCCAGTCATGTTGGGTATGCGAATTACGAACGGAATTTCGATTTAAGGGAAACACTAACAAGGGCAGCTGGATGCCAGTAACTCCACGATCCAGCCTTGACTTCAGCTTTTTCCATCACGTACGAAGCCTGTTCCAGTGTATCTCATCGTTTCAGCAGTTTGTCAACATTTATCAGCCGTATTAGTTATCGAGTGCCAACGCTGAAGGTAATCCGGTGGCTTACTTAAGTTACTTCTGTATTGCGGAATCAAATGACAATTTCAGTCCGCCGCCCCCACTGTCAGTAATGCAATGCTATGCTACTCACCGGTCACGTATCCTATCTTATTGTATCGACAACTATCCATGATTTCTCGGCTATTCAACAGCATTACCTTAGTCTCCGCTTATGTGCACAGATGATCAAGCAGTCCTGCCGCAAGTGGATACTTGAACATGGCAAGAGCAAAGAGTAAAGTTGAAATATCGCAGTCTAGCATTTTCCAGAGACTCCGCAGCGTTGAGTAAGGTAGCCTCATAGAAGCCTCACCTGCGGGATTAATTTCTAATTCCGCAATCAATTTGAATCCTTGTATTGTGGATGAAATCATCTAGTTAACCTGAGCATCACGCAACCAGCCTTCCTCCGTTAAGTAATGAATCTTGACAGCTGGTTTAACCTATTCCACTGTGGCAGGTAAGACCCGTTCGCGATAGCTAGGATTATTCCCACGACTTTTCTCACGGGAGAAAGATAGCTATCGAGAAGCGAGTCTCGTAATAATGGACCATTCTAGTTAAGATCGACCGGCCCGGTATAGATCTTTTAGCGGGCGTTACAAGAGAAATTAGATAAGTACCAGATGCGTGCATCATGATGTAGAGCAGAATGTCACCATATTATTGATCTTCGACCTGATCCCTCTTGTGGGCCCTCCGTTCGCCTCTGCAATCCACACCATGTACATTCCTGCAGGACCATTGGTCTGTGTCCTCAACCCCATATGGTATGTTGACCCAAACTCCAACTGGTCTCCTGTCGGTACCTTAGGGTAGAAAGATAGCATAGTGAGAGGAAATGAAAAGGAATGGGGTTGAATATTACATAAACTGTGGTACTGCAAAAAGCACCCTTACAATCTCGCCAGAGGACGAATATCCCAGGCGACCGCGAATGCTGCGGGATCCTTTGGTTTGAGGTTGTTGTTTATGGAAACGACAACCTTGAACGTCTTTCCAGGGACGTTCTCCCAAATAATCTTCTCAACATTGTCTGTAGCACTGTAAGTATGCAAATAGTGGGATAGCATTAGATTTCGCTTACTAGTGTGGTCGAGCCCGGAGCTCTTGCCCATATTGCCGTGTCGCTCAGACCCAGCTGAGAAAACATACAGGTTGATATCATTCTGCAGTTCCCCAAAGATGGACGCTGGATCGGGATATGCGAGAGACACGACCAGACGGTTTCTACCAGAAGGAACAGGTATCTCAGGACTGACCCATCTCCTGGCTGCCGTTGGGATCTGTCGCAAAGGGGGCACGTCGAATTGGGTGGCTTCAAAGGCGTTACCGCCCTCCATGAACGATGACTGTCTGATCATAGCGATAGAACTGTCAATGTCAACACGTCCAAAACCCTGTTCATAGTCGTAGCCGACGCCGAGACCCAGACTCTCGGAATAATTGACGGCGCCGTTGATAAGTAAAGCTTTCACTAGGGCTGCGCTTGGGTTCTGCTTGCCTCCCTCTTGTAATGCCTCACGTAGCAAAGCGACACAGCCTGCAACTAGTGGTGTCGACATACTTGTACCAGAGGCATAAATCCAATCGTTGTCCTCCGAAATTCTCCATGTGTTCTTCTTGCGAGATTGTGCACTCAAGGCTCTCGAGGCTGCTGAAAGGACAGCAACACCTGGTGCAACAATATCTGGCTTGATACGACCTACTACGGGTGTCGTTTTGTCGGCTTCGTCCACATGCGGCGATCTACGTAGGGTTGGCCCACGGCTACTGAAAACTGCAGTTTCGTTGACCTGTGTTCCGAGATTTCCAACGTCTTGAACCTTGATAAAATTCTGCCCATCATTTTGTCGCGTTGAGCCTGTCGATCCGACAGTGATGCAATTCTTGGCAGCAGCAGCGGCTCCTATCTGGCTTTTGTATTCGTTTTCTTCGCCGTTATTACCGGCTGCCATTAACACAATGAAGTCTTGGTGATCATAGACGAAACCGTCGATGGCATTCGCTTGGGTTTCATAGCCCAACTGACCTGTTTCGTTATCCCACTTCTTACCCCACGAATTATTATGGATCCGGAATCCTAGGTCATATGGCTTTTTGAAAAGCTGCGCGGCCAGATCCAATGGCGTCTCCATCTTCCAGTACCTCCCTGCGGGCTTATATAACATCAAGGACTGGACCATAAGAGTGGCGGCAGGCGCCGTTCCTCTGACTTTGATTGTAAATGTGCCGTTCTCGGGCTCCTTGATTGTGTAAATACCGCTTCCGCAGATGGATGCACACACATGAGTGCCATGACCTTCTTCGTCCATGAACTTCTCAAATGTGAAGTTCCGGTCTTTGGGGTCGTTGGTCCAGACGGAGTCTAGGTGCTGAACACGTCCACAAAGTGCTGGGTGAACTTCAACGCCAGGCTCGCTATTTGACCTTCCCAGGTCGAAGCCAGTGTCTGCAACGCAAATACGTTGGTTAGCCCCTTCGTAGGAGCTTGACAAGGTCAAGAGATCGACATTGAGGATTGCGCGCGCCTCGTTGTTGAGCACCCCCACTGGCCGCACCTCTTCAATTCTGCTAATACTATCAAGTTTCGCAATCTCTGAGAGGTCATCTTGGTGCACGGTGACTCTGATAATTGAAGGTGAGATTTGAAGATCTTGTAAATCTACTCTGGCTTTCTGTGCGATTGATGTTGCCAGGTTGTTGGCGTTGACGTTGGGGCTCTTATGAAGGATACAGTCTACCTCATAGCGAGTCTTTTTGTTGTCCCTCTCTATAAGTTCCTTGAGAGTCACGGTGGTTTTGAGGTCGGGCAAATATCTGATACAGTTAGCGATTATTACTCTGCAATGTTAATGACTACTCACGGAATCACACTCTTGACAGCGGCCATAGCCCGAATGGCACTGAGGTCTTTGGGCTCATATCGACATAGGTAGGTGTTGCGCGAGACATATTCCAGGATTTTGACTTGACTGTCCTCCAGTTTCTGCTTTTGACCAGGGGTCAAGTCACTGTGACCCTGGATAAGGATAAAATTGGTGCTCTCTGCATCCTTTGGCACGCTATCAGGCAAATTTGCGAGATTGGCCGTGTTGCCGTTGATTTGAATAGTAGCCATCTTCGTATGAAATGGAAAATCGTTCCTGAAGAAAGTGGAAAGAGGATGTCGAAGCGGAGTGAAGTAACCCTGTGATGGAAGACGGCAGTTGTAAGTGAAGGGAATGGAGAGGAAGAGACCCTGCCGAAGCTGAGCAACCAGCATTAGGTGGCTTTGCGGGTCGCACTCTCCCTTGTAGGCGCTAATACGGTGGGAATTGACCAACGGCAAAATATGTGGTTGCCAATTCCAGCTCAGAGGGCTAAGTACGCATTGTGATCGAAACAACAGCTGAATACCAGGGTTAGGTCTAGAACGTAGGTGGCAGCCTGGGATTTGCAGGACTAGAGGCAATAGCCTGAGACAATGGACATGGCCTAGCCGATTCTGGCCCATGTATTTACTTGTGCAGAAGCGCCTCGGATGGGTAACCCTAAGCCAAAGAAGAGGGGGAGAATCTTAACCAAAGCAAATCGATGGTTATTGCGACGAACAGTAAACGGAAGCAATCCCCATAGTGAGTGAATGCATGGTACAGGCTAGTTTTTCAAGTCAAACACAGTAGATTACGGGCATCAATCTTGAACGTTGGTTAAAGGCGTAATTCAAGCAAATAATCTCGAAATATTCATAAGGTCTAAATCCTTTTACAGTACGGATTAAGCTACTATAGAACCTTGTTGTTGACTTGGCCTTCCTGACCAGACAGCGCGAACACTTCTGTATCGAGAAACTGTCTCACTCCATCATCGCCCTCCCATTTCTTGCCCTCCAGCTTCTTTTCTACTAGAACCTTACACCTATCAACGGCGTCACGACAACCAATCAAGTTATTCCACTGTTCTAGATTATCTAAATGCTCCGGATCCGGAATACGATCGAAAAAGTGGTCGTAATGCTTGTGTGAAGCACTGTCTTGGCCATAATAAGTGTGGAAGATCTGAATGGGTCCCCAACGATCTATAGTGCCGTCTTTAAATTTGAGGGGATCTGGAGAAGAAATGTAAGCAGTGGGAACTGGATGGACCTAATCAGAATCCTTACCGTCCGATACCTTGTCTTTCTCGTTCAGTAGTTCACGCTTTGCATGGCCAATAGCATACGAATCTTGGATAACATGGAACATACTGCCGAGTGCGCGTCGCCCGATGTCAAGGCCCTTGAACTTGGAGTCCTTGGACAATAGATAGGCAAGAGACAGCCAGTTTGGCGGGAGAGAATCGTCAGGAAACAAAACGCCAAGAGGTGACTGTGACACCACAGTGCTGGGGGTAATCTTGTCATCTTCACCAGTTGCCAGCTTATACATAACTTCCATCCAGGTCATGATATTTGCTTTTGTGACTTCAGGCTCCTCATCTCTATCAGATGCCATACAGTGAAGAAACTGAAGGTCACCATAGTGTGAGCGACCGGTAACATTTTTCATCCTAGTGAAGCCGAGGTTGTTTGGGTTCCACTCTTTTTCCGCTGACTTGAACTTCAGTGCCCAGTCAAAGCCGAGTGTGTATGAATGATTTGAGTTGTGAGTGTCTGAAAAGAGTTGACAATCAGGATCGTCATTCCACACTGCTCCGCGAATGTGCTCCCAGTCGTGGTTGGTGGCGCTCTCAAGAGTTGTGCCCTGTGGGGTCCCAGATTTGCTGCTGATTAGAGCAGACAAAGTGAGAGACTCATGGAATGGTTTGCCGATGATCCCATTCCAAAGTCCTCCACTGACTGACATTTGGGGGGCGACCTCTTCCCCAGCTTGGCCACTGGTGTCTGCATTTTCGTGATCTGTTGAGGTTGCCATGGTCGGTATTCGCCGCTAGAATCTTTTGCTGAGGGAAGAAGCTGAAAAGACAAGTTTAACGTGCAAATGCGTATACTACAATTCACAGCCTATATAACTAATTGCTCTGGGCTGTAAGCACGCTAGAACCAGCTATGGCAGTCTGGACACTCCGAAAGCGGGGTGGGCGTCGTGCGAGTGCATGGGAGTCCATTCACGACCAGTGTGCAGGTCATTATCTTTCAGCTGACTTCGCCTGAGGCTGCTAATGTCTCAGCCCCCAGTCTATCCAGAGCCCTTCCCCAATCCTGCTTTGAAGTTGTGCTCCGGATCATCCGTCGTGATCGCGATAGCCAAGGAGAGTGGTAGGAAGGCCCTGGTCAAGAAATAGATGTGATTCCTGTGCCTCAAAGATCGAATAGTCAACACTACTAAGTGACTGAGGTGTTGCGAAACAGCTTGCGCGGGCAAAACTACACTAGAGTGGCGGGCTGAAAGCGGAGCGACCGTAAGCGCGAGTCTCGACCCAATAGCCCCATGTCAGGACCGTCCCGCCCGCCACATCCCGGGGCACTAACCTATCGGACAACACTAGTTGATGTATCTAGACAAACCACCGTTCAAACTAAGCCAAATGTAACAGCGCTGTAGTATGTATCATTGTGGCATTGTGCCATAATCAGGTGCAGTGGTATAATAGGTAATCAAGATAATTGGCTCAGATGGATATGTCAAGAAGCACAGCTGGCAGACTAAGACTGCACATCCCCGCTTAATCAGGTGAGAGCCTAGATTCAAAGCTGCTAGTGAAATTATTGATGCAGAAGCTGCCTCTTCGCATCCCAGCTGATCTCTTACCCTCACATACGGCTGAGTTCGTGTATTTTCAGGTCGTTCAAGCCATGCTGTTAATGACGAGCTGTACTCAAGTGAAGACCCCTGATCCACCTTGTAGTGATGTGATAGGTATAGCAGCCACCAGAGTAACGGCATATGGCTTGGAAGTTTCGCGAGAGCCAGCTTACGTTGTCTCACGGCTTCTCCGAGTCCTCCCATCATGGCCTGCTGTATGTGTCGAAGAAGTGACTAGAAAATTATCTACCCCTCAATGAACGAGCGGTTCACGTTACGTATAAAAGGCAGCAGGATTCGGCTCTCTAATAGAATTTGATTGTCATCGAGAAGCACTTCTTCAGCTACAGATACCTCCACTACAAAGACAAGCACCTTCACGTAAACCTTATCTTCCTCCTACATCTTCAAAATGGCCGACCAGACATCTGCTCCCTGGAAAGAATCTGAGTCTAAGAGCGGACAGAAGTATCAGGTTTCTGCCTCTCACTACGATATCACCGACCAGGGTGGCGACGCCCCTGCTGCCAACGGTCCCCCTTTCAATGTCCAGGTTGATTGGAGACTTAACACCGAGGGCTCACCCTCTCCCGAGATCCGAAACAAGACGGGCATTACCTACTACAAGCTCGAGGAGGCTCCCTGGTACTCGGTCAAGAAGTACCGCCTGACTATATCCACCACTGACTCCTACAACTATACCTTCTTCGACAACGAGCCGGATCAATATGGCCTGAATGTCTTCCGAACCAATGGCCTGCACTATGTCGAGTATAACTCCAAGGACCCCAGAATCACCAGCATTACCGGCAAATAAGTCAGAAGTCAATGTCGATCCAAGGGGCAAGCGGCTTCGAACGAAGTCGGGGTTAATCACGGAAGGAGAGGTCAAGAATTTTATGGTGGAGGGCTATGTAGTCTATCTGGTGGTCTTCAGATAGCTAACTGGATATCTTGAATCTCGCATATCTACACTCTCACTCTAGAAAGCACACTTTTGGTTTTATAATGCTTGGTCAAAGTCCCGAAGTTACCTTGTGAGGCGAAAATAGGTTGTCAACCCCGAGTAAAGAACCGGCGCTAAGATAGACTACCGCTTCATCAATGAAATTTACGTTAGTATGGGGTCACAAGAAGTGTACAAGTACAGTACTTCGTCTCTTTATATCGTCCTCTAAGCCGTGGTTTGTAGCCACTATCCGATCTCATCTCCCGGCGAGTACCATAGTTGAAAGAAAGCTGGTCTTTCTGATTTCAATAGAGATTCGGCCGTCCGCTATAGCCTCGTTCAAGATTCTCTCTTTTTTTCGTTTTCTTTCTTCTTTTTTCTTTGATATTTGTATCAATTTACAAAGTGCCCAGTGCAGTAAAAGCAACAGGCCTTGGTGGGTAATTGTTGGATAAGCGCGGCATTCCTGACATTGACATATTACCTTCTCGAATTAAAGGCAAGTCCACGGATGGGCTTCGAGACATTCTAGCACAGCATAGCGAAGAAGTGGGTTGAATACGTTTTCTGGTCCAGACATATATATCCGCATCTGGTCGTGATCTCTCCACAGAAATTCGGGACCCGGACTTGCTCCGAGCCAAGGTTTCTCCGAAGGCCGAAGTCGGCGTCTCGATTAGGTAAAGTCCGGTATAAACCTGACACCGTGATTTGGACGTCACGGACACACAAAAGCAATTGTCTTGCGCTCGTTGCGTTTGAGAATTCACAGCCCCAAAAATCTTGCCCAGATCTGAACTGTTTTGATGCAGACTAATATTTTAGAGTACCTAATCCGGACATTAACATCAACGCCCACCTGTTGTTCCCGATGGACTCATCGGTCTGTCGATCTCCCAACACCCCGAACGATGACCGCTCAGCCCTCCGCGACCTTCTCAAATCTCGTCAACGGGACCGCAAAGGCGTCCGTGGTAACCCTAAGTCATGTATACCGTGCCGCGAAAGAAAGGTCAAATGCGACAAGGAGTTGCCGTGTTCGACCTGCGACAAACGGGGACACCCGGATCTATGCAACTATGAAAGTTCTACAAGACAGTCGCTCGGTATCCCGCAGTCGCCAGCACGATCTGCGAGAAGAACTTCTGTAGTCATTCCAACTTCAAACAGATCTCAAGAACTCGAGAAAACAGACGCGATCAGCTTTGATATCGTCGAGGAACGTGTAGGAGACCTCGTCCCTGGCCCAGAAGCCCAAAACAGGCCCAGTCCACATATATCGACAACGTCGAATAATGCATCCACTGCGCGAGAAGATGGCGATCGACTATTCCTAGCCGATAGTTCGGTGATAGGCATGATCAGACGGCACTCAATCCGGTCTAGAGATGATCCAGCTCGACAATCTGCTTTCGAAACAGGCATACTACCTCTTCTTGGCGTCAATGAAGAAGTGAACACGTCTGTATCATCCTATCAGTCTCTACCAAGCGACCAAGAGATAGTCAGATTGTTTGAACTCTTTCGCCGTCGAGTCCACCCCTTTCACGTCATAACCTTTAATTTAGATACCATCGAGCAACGAATTTGTCAACTAATCAATGCAAGGAGAGGATCAGACCTTGGCTCCGAGTCGTTTGAAGATCCTAGGTGGCTGTCTCTACTTCACGCTATCATGGCGGCTGGAGCTCAATTTTCCGATATGAATTTGCAAGACCGTCTTGCAGTGTCTCAACGGCATAGTATGTTCTAGATCAGCCCACCATTCCATCCACCTCGATGAGATGCTGATCAGCTACAGCCAAGCAGTCATTTGATCTCCTACGGTCAACAGATTATCTCGCGAATCCATCCAAGAAGTCCGTCCAGACACTCCTTCTCTTAGGGAATGTGCTTCAAAATAATATGAAACCTCAGGCGGCTTGGGTTCTTGGGGGCACAACAATCCGCCTCGCGCAATGCCTCGGTCTTCACAAGAAGACAGCCCGCCCGCCAAAATCTCCGCTCACAGATGAAGACGCAAAGTGTTTGAGGTAAATTACATCGAGGTTCTCTGTAGGAATACATCTGCTAACCACTGGTCAGATTAGCAGTTGTTTGGCAGGATGCCCTCCTCGCGCTCGCTTTTGGTCGCCCACCAGCCTCCTATGAGTTGGATTTTGAAAGCGACTTGCCTCAGCTCTCAGAGTCTAGCGAGAGTTCGGGTCTATCCTACCTCCAAGCTATGAGCTGGCTATGTCATGTCACATTGCGCCATCTCTCGTCTCATTTGCAGTCGTCACTCGGGCCAGTTTCGGTACTCGACGGCATCAAATCCATCGAAGCCTCTCTTTCGCCCCACTTAATCGATCCCACGACAAGTACGGCAATACCACAGATTCAAGAATACTACGCTTTCGAACTTCACCGACATTTTGTCATGGCTACTCTTTGTCGCCCGTTCGTATCGAGGAGTGGATCAACAGGGCTCAGTGAAAGTGACAGGTCGAACGTCCTCGAGCACTTTCGAGAATCTCTCAAGCGCAGCGTCCGGGCTTATGTTCGGTTGAGGTCAATCGCGGGACATGCTAGGCGTTCTTGGGCCTTTACACATAATGGGCTAACGTCGGTTCTTCTCTTGAGCTTAATGCGAGAGACTAGGTATCTTGCCGAGACCAGAACCCTTCAGGACGAGCTCATTGCAAGTCTTTCAGAGGAAGGTAACTCCGCCTTGCTCACAGACCCCGATACCAACGCACAGCTTTCAGGCACTCTCCATAAGGCCTTGAAGGCACTGCGGACTCTTCGAGCATTGACGGAGCGTGACGTCAGTTCGCGTGGCTCAAACCAGGAGCAAAGCGACCAAGACATTCCAACTCCTGGCCATATGCCCACCGTCGGCGAAAGGCCTGCAATAGTCCAAGATAATGCGTTTCGGGTCACGGAGCAAGCTGAGTGAGTCAATCCATAATTTAGATTCCGAGACGAATGCTAACAAGCCAGCTTTTGGGACATGGGCGACGCTCAGTGGGAATTTCCCATCGATTTCGACATGTCCCCACTGGGCGCATTTGACTACATCATGTCGGATCAGAATTATGACAACAATGCATTTCTGCCCAATCTAGTGTGAAGTTGAAAACTTTGTGTTGGGATTTAGTAATCATTCAATTAACGTTCAGTCTAAACACTTTGATATTCAGTTGGAATTGAATCCAAATGACTGCCAACGCTGCAGCACCTTCTCCTGGACCTCAGTCGGATAGGACCCCTGGAAGCTCGCAGCTTCCCAGTCACGGCCAGTGGTGTACTCAGTCGGCATCAGACAATCGGAAACAACTTTTCCCCCCATGCGGATGTTACCGTTGCCGTGCGACATGTATGGAATTAACGGAAAGCCGCGGACGTCCTCGAAATGGTACTCATCCAGGCCAGGGCGGCAACGGGTGGAAAAGGCCCAGATTACGTCCTTAAAGTCGTACACGTCGATGTCGTCGCCGACAATGACGAGGCGGTGGATTGTGTAGCCGACCTTATCATTGAAGACAACATCGCCGATGGTTCGGCAAAAATCCTTTGCGTTGGTCTCCATTGCGCGAAGCTTCTCGGTGTCGACCTGTAGGGCGACCCATGTCACCTGGGATTCGAAGGGGGAGAAAGCCTCCTTGATGGGCAAACCCTTAGACTTCAGTAGAAATCCGATCTCAGCAGCGGCAAGGGGTCCGATCATGGTGTGCTAGTTCGCGTCAGTTTGGTACTGCTATGAGAACAGGTGGCGATGATGACCTACCGTCTCATCGGTCAATCGGCCGCAATTCGATACTGGAAGAATAGCATCCTTTCGGTGTGTGATGAGGTCAACCCTGTACTTCGGCTGGGGATGCGCGTCGCCAGGGAAAACATATCTTGAAGGATCGTCAGTATCTTTGCAGAATTCTTGCAGACAATTCCAAATAGTCCACATACCCGTGCATCTCTCCAAAGGGACCCTCAGGTGCTGTCTCTGTAGCATAGCAAACGCCCTCGAAGACAATTTCCGAGTTGGCAGGGACATAAAGCCCATTGGTGTCACACTTGACAACCTCCAACGGTGCTCCAACCAGTGACCCAATGTACTCCGCCTCAGACAGGCCGCTCGGTAAAGGCATGCTCGAAGCCATGATGGCGGCCGGCGGCACACCAAAGACCAGCGCCCACGGCATGTCCTTACCCTCCTTTTTCCACATCTGATGGATCTGCCAGATATGTTGCGGCTCGATAACGAGCCCCGCAAGGTGGTTCCTGTCGTACACCATGGCGCGAGCGATGGACCAGTTCGTCCATTTCCCGTCCGGCGATTGAACGACATGCATACCGTACGTCTGGATGTACTTTCCGCCGTCAGACTGGTGCAGCATCGGTGCCGGCAATTTGGTGAGGTCAAATTGGTCTGGAGTCAATCGGATCTCCTTGCAGGACCCGGTATCAGAGACAACGGGGGGGATTGGGGTCGCACTCTTAGCGGCGATCATCTTATCGAGTATCTCCTTCATAGTCGACGTGGGAGGGAGACCGAGGTGCCTCGCCAGTCTTCCAAAACGCTGGGAGGGGTCGGACCGCAGAGAGTTTGGCGCGCCGAGGATACGCCAGAAGCCATCTGCATCTTGACCCTTGAGCTTGTTGAAGAGGGGTGCTCGTTCATCGGTCTCAACAACCTTCCGAATGATGGCGCCGACTTCGAGATTCGGGTCACATTCTTCGTTGATCTCAACGAGGTCGCCGTCTGCTTTAAGTGCCTCGACAAAGGAGCGGAAGCTGAGGTGCGGGAGATCTTGAGAGTTTGATGGTGGCATTTTAGTTCTGTTGATTGAGATTGAGAAATTGGATGTGTATGCGGTTCAAAAATGGAGGAAATTTGATTTGTAGTTGGTGGTTGGATGTGATTATAATGCAGCCAATGTAGATGACCATGTTGCGTTCCTATATATCACTTCCGTCAACACCGAACGCCAGCATGGAGTACGATGAGCGGTGGTAGTGATGCAATATCCCCGAATTCCCCGAGATACGTGCTCAGAGATCCCTGAGCTAGGATGGAAGTCGGTCCTCTTCCGTACCAGTGCCGGAAGTCGAGAATGTGGATACCTGAGTGGCTCCGGGTTCGGACAATTCGGTTACCGTCCCATCGATCGTTTCTGAACTCTCCGATTTCGCCGAAAAGACTTTTATCGTGATCCCATTAAATATGTAGGGTAGTATCGCTGAAAGAAGAGTGTGATCCAGAGGTACGCAATTATAACTGGCTCAAACATCATTCCAAGCACTTTCAGACCCAAAAGCAAGAATACGTCCACAACATCTTTGGCAAATCACTGTCATTTACACTTCAGAGACACCACGTCGGTAAATGCTTGTGAAGAACTACCAACAAAAAAGCCATCAACGAAATGAAAGACATCACACCTCGCAAAAAGATCATTGTCGCCTTGACGGGCGCGACAGGAGCCCAGATTGGTATTCACGTTCTTCAGACCCTCCGGAGGCTCAATGTCGAAACGCACCTCATTATCAGCAAGTGGGCCGCCGAGACGATAAAGTGGGAAACCGATTACACACCCGCGGCGGTGAAAGCACTTGCAGACCACGCCTATAGCTCGCACGATCTAGCCGCACCTATTGCAAGTGGCTCATATCGCGTGGATGGCATGATTGTTGTACCGTGTTCCGTCAAGACCCTCGCTGCGATCAATGCGGGTATCTGTGATGACTTGGTCACGAGAGCAGCAGATGTTTGTCTGAAAGAGCGCAAGAGGCTGGTCTTGTCTGTCAGGGAGACGCCGTTTAGTGAGATCCATTTGAGGAATATGATGGAGGTCACGAGGGCGGGGGCGATTATCGCGCCGCCTGTTGTCGGATTCTATACGCGGCCGTCGTCAATTGATGATGTTCTTGATCAGATGGTCGGAAGGTTGTTGGATCTTTTCGATTTGGATGCGAGAAACTTTGAAAGGTGGGATGGGATGCAGAAGAGTACGACAAATAGCAAGTAATGTTGATTACAATCGACTGTACACCAGATCACTTTCGCCGAATGATAGTAACGGCTGACTGAGATATTGTTGGACCACTGTGGAGTGTGACGGGAGCAAGCCGGATGTCTACTTCTGGTGTACCTCGACATCGGTGATAAGTCCTAGTGCCTTTTGCAAGCTAATGTCTAGGTCGGGCCGCAATAGGAGTCGAGTCCTGCAAAAAGTTGATCCCATCCAAATGTGTTGGCGTCTCCAAGGAGATCGTTCCATAGGCTGTCAAGACCGAGGACGTCTTCTCCAGCCAAACTAGATTTCTCAGCACTGCCACCATCATCATAAACAGTCCTCAGTCCGGCCGTTGCAACCGCTTCGGGATCGTCAGTCGAGAGTCCTGCGTCGACAGACTCTCTGTCATCTTCTACCTCTGATGGGACAGCGTCATCCATCCCCTGGACACGATAGCGACGCAAAACGCCCGTCAGGTTCTGAACAAGCTGCGCAGCAATCACCGATTCTTTTCCGGCCAATGCCAAAGCACGGCAAGCTTGTACAACCTCGGCATGCAGCTCTGCTGATGCATCAGATACTAACCATGACTCTTTGCCGTCTGCTAAGCCCTCACGACTTGAGACGCCTCCTGAGTGAAGTGCCAATATTGTACACGCCATGAACATATGACCGATGACACAGCCTAGACGGCAGCCTATTGCTCGCGAGCTGAAGGTTTGCACTGGCTCTCTAGTCTGTGAAACCTTTAGTAGACGTGTGGCGATTGCGAGGACAGTCCGGGCTGAGCTCAGACATATCTCTCGCGATGACTGGTATTGAGCATCTTGTTTGTCATGGAGCAAGAATGGTCGGTGTAATCGAGCGCGTCGCGAGAGGAAACCGAGGAGAACAACATCTCTCTGCAGCGATAGATAGGGCGGCGCGGTCTCTGGAATGGGCCCATCGGGGCGGAGGAATGGGGGGAAGTCGGCAATAGCATCTGCAAACAGACGATCTAACTCGAGGACATGTTCGTAGTCCGTTATTTCAGCATCTGGAACTCCTGGTGTTCTGGCATCGATGACAGAACGAGAAATACCAGCGAGTTGGATGCGCCGGATGAAACAGCTCATCGTCGTCGCAGTATCTGAAGGCATGCTAATGGCCTTATTCGAGAGGCTCGCCTCGTCATCATTGATGTTCCGAGGCTCATTAACATTCATTTGTCGCGGCTGAACGTTGTACGTCCCATCCGTGGGCCCTCCCATGAGACCCAGCATCCTGAGCTATGATGAGCAATAGTCGATAGAAGAGGAATGAGAGCGACGTACCAGTCTGTAGCAGTAATATGCCACCATACCCTTCTCTTGATTTCCTTTGCAGACTCTTCGTCCCGCTGTTCCGAGCCAGGGCTGTCGATTAGGTGCAGGCTCATCTCTCGAGCGGACGACAACGAACAGCCATGAAGGAATCTGAACCTAGCTGAGCAGCCTTCCATGTTGTAGACAAGATAAGCGAGGACCGAACGTGCTTGTACCTCTTCCAGACAGACCCAAGTATTGGCATGTGATTTTTCTAGTATGTTGAGAGAGGATCTGAACCAAGCTATGGCGGTGTGCGTAGCTTCTTCCAAAGACTCGAAGGTCCCGTTGGCTTTGGACCCCTCGGTGAAGAAGAAAGCACTCGTTGCTGCGATTCCTAGAATCAGTGCAGCGTGTGCTGGATTTGGTTCACCTCCGCAATAGAAGTTGACGATCATGGACCTGGCTGCTGTTGGATGAAGTATGGGAAGGAGATGAAACGGATTGTCGAGGAAGTCTTGTAGTAGCAGCAACGCCTCTTCTTGGGTCATCAACCAGGTCGATAATCGTCCTTCTGAATCGATGGAGGGTGTAAGGCCGGAGGTTGTGCTTGCGGGTGTCTTGGGAAAGTGACAGACATTGGTAACGTGATAGTCCACCTTTTCAAATGGTAGAGTGACCTGGGTAACAGTCCATTAGGATTTCGAACTCTAAAGTCTGGATATTGTGTTTCTCACGTTTAGACTATTTCGCGTGAATGTTGAATCGAGAAACTTCGCGGTTTGCTGCCGTTCGTTATCCATGAACCTCCGTAGATGAGGATGCCGTGTTGATAAACCCAGACTTCGGCGTCGGGACGGTTTTGACCGCTCTATCCTTTCAGGTCCGACAGTGTCCGCAAGCTGCTGCATGGAAAATTCTGTGCCGGCAGAAGACACTGGCCCGAACACAGCGTGCTCTAGATTACGGAGCCGACTCAGGATAGAGTCGTCGGCAATCTCGCTCAACCTTGGCGCATGGCTATCCGTAGTTAGCTAAGGTAGACCGGTCGTCGATATGTATGCACCATTTCTGTGGTTACCTCAATTCCACAATCGGATTTTGTGTCCCCGGCTGCCCTGCGCATGACAAGCCGCGCATCACACAGCTCGAACACGGGTCTCCGCGGTCGCACTTGAGCTTCTTCTTGCGGCACGAGTCACACGAAACTTGGGGTTGACGACGTCGTTTCTGGGCTGCGCTATCACTATCAGGTCGCATTGTGCGCTTCATGATGAATTAAATGATTCGTAATTGCTTTCTTGTGCTTCGCCACTGGACTTTGTTGATGTTGATGAGGCAAAGTCCAAGTTCGCTCCTGGCTGCGGACCTTCCTCGGACGCCAACGGGTTACTCCACGGATAATCCGCGGTGCTTACCAACTCCATCTACGCCACCTCATCCAGAGCAACAATACGACAGCAAAGCGATAATATTTATTAAATGCCCATGGGGAACTGCTAAGTGCCTAAATCAACCTTATTTTTCTTTTGGCTTTTTTTTTTTTTTTTTGCCGTTGCTTACGCCAGCCAGTGTCCTGAACTTGATATTCTAGCCACAAAACACAACTTACATTGCCATGGAGCCATCTCAACCTCCTCCCGGTTACGATAGGTGAGCTTATGGTTTTCGGAATTTGAATATAATCACAAAATCTCATTCGGAACTATCAGCTTTAGATCGTGGCTCGCTGTCGTAGGTGCTTCGCTTTCGCTTTTTTGCACAGCTGGCTTCCTTAATGCATTCGGCATTTTCCAAGAGTATTACCAGACGTTTCTCGGAGAATCTGAGTCCAATATTTCCTGGATTGGATCCATATCTATTTCTATCGTCTACCTATGTGCACCAATATCAGGCGTTTTAACCGACAGATTGGGACCTACGGTATGTGAAAATTGATTGCAGCCCTGCCGACCTCCACGTACTAAGGTGCACGCTTTACAGATTCTCCTGTGTATTGGCAGTATCGGTCAACTGTTTGCTCTTTTCATGACCTCTCTCTGTAAACAGTACTACCAAGTTTTCCTAGCCCAGGGGATTTTGCTTGGGGTGAGTATGTCGCTCATTTTCTGCCCCCCTGTGGCTGTGGTGTCACGCCGCATGCCTCATCGCCGTGGCCTTGCTCTAGGTCTCACAATTGGCGGGTCCTCCATCGGTGGCATCATCTGGCCGATCATGCTAGAGCAACTTCTCAACAAACGCCAGCTTGGTTTCGGATGGACTATGCGAGTTGTTGCTTTCACTATGGCTCCTCTTCTAGCATTCGCCTGCATCACTGTGGTTGATGCCCCCGCACCCCAAGCATCTTTGAGTCCAATCCATGCGGCATCAGATGAGGACGAGAAGGGAACGACCTCATCGAATGACGAGATACAGTCCAAATCGAAGGCCAACTACTCTATCCTGAAGAACAAGACCTTTATCCTTCTCTGTGGAGGGTTAGCACTCGGCTACTTTGGACTGTTTACTCCCGTCTTCTTTGTTACGGGCTTCGGCGTTCAACATGGCTTGTCCACATCGACGGCATTTTACTTGTTATCTGGGCTCAACGGTGCTTCATTCCTGGGACGAGTTATTCCTGGGTTTCTCGCAGACCGGTATGGGCATTTCAATCTTTGCATGCTGGCAACTCTTGCGGCTGGTATCGTTGGCTTTTGCTGGACGGCGGCAACGTCTCTTCCTGGGTTGGCAGTATGGAGTTTGGCGTACGGATTCTCCTCTGGAGTGAGTAGATTCACATCTTGAACTTCCATGACAATGGCTGACGTATTTGCAGGCCATCATGAGCTTGCAGGGTGCATGCGTCGGAAAAATTGCCCATCATCGTCATCAGGGGTTGGCTGTCGGCTTCATGATGGGCTCCATCGCTGTAACGTGAGTCGTCACACTTCTGCTACTCCATGCCTAGGGCGGTTTGTGGACACTGACCATGACAATGGACAGCGCTCTTGTCGGGCCTCCCATCAGCGGCCAGATTCTTGCGCATGCCGGATATCTTGCGTTGTCGATGTGGACCGGCGCAACTCTCGTGGTTGGAGCTGCCATCCTTGCTGCAGCTAGATGGCGGTTAAACAGCAGTGTGATTGCAACCGTCTAGATCTATATGGTATTCAGTCATTTGCAGTATGGTCCTGGCTTCACTTGTGATGTATGTTCGGAGTCAAGAGTACTGCGTTCAGCGGCACATCGTTCGGAGGTATCGCTCATACCTTTGGAGACTACTGAGAGTACTTACCTAAGCAAGACCGCTCGGACCAGTGGGGTCCCTGTTCCCTTCGGGCCGAAGCTGTTCCTGGTACGCCGGGTGCCCGGTCGGGGTTTTGATGTTCCGCAAGGTGCTCGCCGATGATGGGATCTCTAGTATGGCTCGTGTGTGGCTGGTAAATGTGGCTTCTCCGGAGCGCAGGTTTGGGGAGAAAAAGCTTTCCGACCCTTCGAAATGACCACAAGCTGGCCTCGCACGATCTTTCTAGACAATCACTTGTTCACATTTTTGCTTCACTTTGTTGTCACTCGTTTCATCAAAATGCGTTAATCTATTCTTTTTGTCTTTTTATATTGATCTTTCTATTGCCAGGCTTTGCCTTAGCCTCACTTTTTGAACAGATTTCTCGGACCTTGCTGTTCCTAATAGGATTGGCCGACCGAAGGCACCCTGATCTCCCTTCACTTGTGAACCGATCCCTTGGACTGCATCTCTTCACAGGCCGGGCCGGCTCGGAATGAGCCCATCGCCTGAATGGCCCACCAGTTCCACATCGCCGGCGCGAGCCACGCTCTCCTCGACCCGTGGTCTCAAGGAGCGGGCGTGGTGAGGGACGTTCTCACTCGGTGGTCCGAGCTCGATATAACACAAATTGGCTCTATTGTTGCCATAGCCGGCACCCTTCCTACGGCTTGGAGACTCATGCAATGTGCCTGCCAGGAAGCGTATAGTTGTATTCGGCGCTTTTTCCTCGCTTCCGTCACAATACCGGGCGGCGACCCTGTTAACCGCAGCGTCGTGAAATGGGTCCTCGCCAACCGGCCCCGGCATTATCGCGCCTTCACCGGTCGTACCGAAGTTGGACGCGCCAACCCAGACCGTGCTGCCGCTCTGAAGAAGTCGCGCCATACCGTTCAGTATTGTCCACACTGGAACACACGGTGGCTTTGGTTCAAAGGCAACTTTTTTGTCGTCACCCGTGCCGTTGGAGATTTCAATTCTTCACTATCGGACCCCAGCTACGATGGAATCGGAGGCGAGGACCTGACAATCAGCTGCTTCGGATGGTCGGCGCATCCTGTCCAGAATCTCATCGAAGCCTGCCGCGAGTACGCCGACAGGCAGACGCAGTACTTCGTCATCATCTACTCCCGCGACCGTTACGGCATGTCTTGGAAACCTAAAGCCCGCAAGCCCCTCCGCCACCTGGACACCGTGCACTTTGACCTCAGCTTGAAGCAGGAGTTGCTTGCTGATATCCGGAATTACCTGGATCCGAAGACTCAGATGCGCTACCAAAGCCGGAGTATGCCGTACCGGAGAGGCTACCTCTTCTACGGCCCGCCTGGAACTGGCAAGTCCTCGCTTTCTGTGGCGATTGCCGGCGAGTTTGGGTTAGATCTCTACGAGGTCAAGATCCCCAGTGTGGCAACGGATGCCGATTTAGAGCAGATGTTTCAGGAGATTCCGCCGCGATGTGTGGTTCTTCTCGAAGACATCGATGCCGTGTGGGTGGAGCGTTCAAGCAGCCATGAGAAGACCAGCAACGGGAATGGACGAGCACATTCACCGGAAAGCAGCAATGTGCCCAACTGCACTCTTTCCGGACTGCTGAATGTTTTGGATGGCGTTGGATCGCAGGAGGGCCGTATCGTCATCATGACTACGAATCGACCCGAGCAACTCGACAGTGCCTTGATTCGGCCCGGCCGAGTCGACATGAAGGTTCTTCTGGGCAACATTAGCCCAAAGTCAGCGGCGGAAATGTTCGTGCGGATGTTCTCTCCCGACCTAGGGTGCACAACACACCTGAAAATGGAAGAAATTGAGAAGCTTTCTGTCCAGTTTTCCAGCGTGATACCGGAAGACACCTTGACCCCATCTCAATTGCAGGGGTTTTTCCAGGTACATTTAGAAAGCCCGTATCATGCGGTAGAAAGCATCGCAAGTTGGGTTCAAAAAGAACTTGCAAGAGCCCACTTCAAAGAGTTCGAGTTGATAACTTCCAATGGGAAGGCTTAGAAGTTGAGTGTGTAATAGCTATTTGCCTCACTGTACTATTATATGTACCTTATGACTGGTTTTAGACCCTGGATGGAGTCTTGTTATTTCTTTTTTTCCCCTGTTCACTCGTTTGTCGCTGTTGTTTGTATTGGGAGAGAAGACCTTACGTTAAATGATGCCAGCAGTAAATGCATTCCTCATGTGTGTTTTTTCAAAGCCATGGTCGATGTAGCTATCGGCGCGCGCAACGCATTTTCTCCAGGAAATTATTGAACACCCTTGTAACGAATGATGACCCGGCCTCTCTTTCGTTTGGCCTATCTACTCTGTTGATTCGGTGCCTAAATCAGCACTCATACAAACTTACCCTGCCATCTTTGACCCAGAGGGCTTGCACACCCAGCCTCTCAACTTCGATGGAGTTGAAGTAGTCCGACATCCCCAGCAGTGCCTCCTACCTTAGCATCAATACTAATCAAGACCCATCTCCGGACTGCCGCGACCCATCTCGTCTGTCTACTAGTTAGCCTTCCAATTTCAAACGCGGGTTTCTCCGTGACCAATATGGGGAGAGAAAGCTCACGAGCTCAAAAGCCTAAATATTTGAGACGACAAAGGAACCTAGAAAGTTTCCGAGAACGAAATCGTCGTGCATGAAAGGCAAGAGTAGCCGGAATTTTCGTACAGCCGCTTCCACACTCCGTCGACATGAGGACAGGGTCGTGGTCCATGAGCATGGCCCTGTCTTGGCGCCGATGGATTTTGGGGTGGTGGCCAAGAATGGAGTTTGCAGTATTTGGTCTTCATATCCCGGTGATATATGTCACGAGGCAGGCACCGTATCGTATGTAGAGTTCACGGAGGGCTCTTGGAGCCGATGCGAGAGTGCGTCATCTCATCGGACGAAACCACCCCAAATATACAATTCTGTCGACTGAGGGACTTCCCCTCAAACGGACATCCGACGAGGGTCAGTGAAAAGCAAAACAGCCTCGAATACCCTCATCAACTTTCCGCAAATCCAACCAACGGTGCTGCGAGTCGGCGCCTGGGAGTGGTAGTTTTTGTGCAGAATAGCGGCGCCGCGACACTTTACTTAGTCTTAAACAAAAAGGTTGCATGACTAACGCAGATTTCTGAAGCCGTTTCGCGAATACACAAGTTCCGGAGAAAGTCGGAGAATATATCTCCTTTCTGCTCACTGTCATGCTCCCAAAGCCGCCGTTTCTGCAAGCCTTGGTATACTTTTGATGCATTCTTTGGGCGGATTCGGATAGCAAACCTTCCTGCCCATCACCAACTAGCTAGGCTCGAAGCGTGCCTTATGACAAGGCGCACTTGAAGTCTAACTTTGATCCATAATCAGTCTGAAAATGATTGCCGTTTGTGGTCCTAGCTTTAGGCAATCTTGGAGGAAGAATAAAGAGGGCTGATTTCCACTCTCGGCTTTGCTGGTGTCTAGGCGATTGATCCTCTATGACACACATCCTACCGCGTATTAGCTTCGCAAAGCTTACATTTAAACTGTGGTAATCATGATCGCTGGGCGAATCTTCCTCATCCTACTGCCTGTGGCTGCGACAATGCCCTCATCCGACTTCGCACCCAATTCTCTTGTCCGACGACACTGCGTAGAGCCTAAGAACTGCGGAGCCACTATTCAAGGAACGATGTGCAACTTTTGTTGCGCAAAGGATGTGAAACCCGATAGCACGCACTGCAAATCTGCGAATGCGGCGTGCCAGGCTGGTGGAAAACCTGATGGTGTCACGTTCAACTGTGATGCCGATTAGTTCAGGGAGAGGACGAAATCGGAGGTAGGTCAGTCAACCTTCAAAAACTCTGTATGACCTCTATTAATCATCGCTAATGAGAACGAGAAGAATCTTACACCAGTCACCGACATCGAACGTTGAATCACGGCCTGTGGGAAATTGACAAAGTCTTAGCAGCGTTCTTGGAGGCTCCGAGAGAATGGTTTCGCGAGGCCAATTGTTTGTGTTTGGCGTGGTCCAAAACATCATTAGGAAATTATTGGATTACATTTAAATCATTGGAAGAGAGATGCTTCACGCTCTCAAACTGTGGGCTTCTCAGTGACTCTCTGATGCTATCATTCCCTCGTGATCTGCAGCTACCTTGAGTCTCTAAATAGCATTCTTACCACTGTAACTAACCACGTGTTGATCAATTTCGTAAGTTCTCCCTTGCTTGCACTGAGTACCTAAGTCACGAGGCACTTGACGATCACATCTCTTATTTCTGACCCGGAAGTCATTCTCAGGACAAATCTCATGGTCCGATTCAATGCCCGCAGACTGTTGTCAAGCGGGACAAACATCAGGCCAGTTGAAGGTTTGACCCGAGGCCAGCCATGTGTAGGAAACTTGACCCCGACTTGCTTGGCCCAATGAACCCAGTAGGCTGCATCCTGTCTATGTTGTATGGCTCTACGTACAGATTAAGGATCGCTCTATCCAAACTTGACTACTTGTCCGGCGGTTTCGGTCTTGATAACCATAGGTAAGCAACTCAGAACCTACCGTGCAGCCGGTATCAACATGTCTTGAGCGGGTGGCGGGCTTGCATTCATTCATATATTCTTCAGGTGATTGACTAGCCATGGTTTCTACCATTGAGGCCATTTGCCTGAATAACACAACTCTATGTGACATCATGGTCCCCTGGCGGTCTAATATTGACTAGGCCCTTGTTGACCGACCATTCTATACTTCAAGTCTGCGGCACGAAGCTTCGGCGAGCAAGCTACGCTTAACACGTCTCTTGTAGCTCTGGTCCTACTTTCCATTGTTCCCAGTGGCTCCAAGGCATTGTCTTCGGGGCTTTGAGCAAGATCCGAACGCAATTTCTTCAATTATGAAGAACAA